TGACATTATTTATGAGAACGTATAAATTTATAAATAGGTGCATACGTTACTTTTATTAGATATTCAAGAGATTAATGCTTAAATAAAAGTGTTCTAAGATCATTTAGTGGCCTTTAAATCTTATTAACGATGAAACGCATTGAATACATAACTCAACGGAATCAGACATCACCAGAGGAACTTAAAAAAAAGTTTTTTTTTTTAATAAGTAAAAAAGAAAAATGCCAATTCTACTCTACTATTAGTGTTATAAAATTCAAGTTAATAGTGACAGTAGGACGAATATGTTTACTCTAAAACTACAGAGTTATTGTTTTGGTCGGTAACGAGCATAGATAATAAATATTATAGTTTTGTTTGAGTGGAGTATCGCAAGTCGTCACATCAATTTTTTTTTCCATCCTTTCTTGAGATCATTACTGCTGTTAAACATAAGAAGTAGGCTGTCCATATTTAAGAATGGTTTTCTGTGGAAACGATATGAATTTAGAAGAGTTTACAAAATGAATAAATTGTTTAAAACCGTTATCCTGTCACTTAGTCGGGAAAACGTAATCAGTGTTGACCCCAATTGAGATAAAAGGCGAGATTGTTTATTGGCACTGTTGAGCATTTGGGTGGTCCGCCCCCGAACTTGTATCTTAATCTCAAAGCAAATCCCGAAGTATTGTTATTTACGTTTATAAATGAGTCTGTAGTTGACTTAATAGTGATGAGTGTATTTAGATGTAGAGATAATTTTAGCAACTAAGCGAGAACCTTAATATTTAGTGTAAGTAATTTAAACTAAGACAATGTTTAACCATTTAGGTTATCCTCGTCTACCGGGCACCGGAGAGGACTGGACCAATGCGCGATAGCCTTTTAAATAACTCCTAGTACAGCTGTTACTTTACTTATAATCAAACTATTATGCGCTTTCCTTTGTCAAACTAACTAAATAGAAATTAGAGTTTAATTTTAAAACTAATCGTGGAGGGCAATACGTGTCCTATCATTTCATTCTAAAGCCGGAATCACTTTAGAGATCGAATTTTGTCACGAACACGGAAAAATATTTTTAACTCTTTGCCTTATAATTCTTAGAGAGTCTGATAAATTTATAAGACACTTCAAAACATCTTCATTTTATTGATGAATCGATAGTTAACACGCGTATGCAAATGATGGTAATAAATAAATTAAAATTGCATGTCATGTATCGCACCTACATAATATTACGTTTAATAAACTGCTCTCCACACGAGCTTAAAGTGAGAGTTATTATTGATAATTATTTTATTATTTACTTGCTTTAGCCCGCGTCTCCGCCCGCGTAGAATTAAAGAAAACTAAAGTGAGTAGTCCATGTATTCTTCCAGACTATCCTTTACGTCTATGCCAAATATCATCGAGGTCCGTTCGGCCGTTTGAGCTATAAACATCCATCTATCCATCTAAACTTTCGCATTTATAACATTAGTAAAAAGTAAAATGGTATTTATGGAAGAGTTATTCCTGCACAGTACCGCTAAAATTATTGTTAAAAGTCAGAATAAAATAAGCTATTTTCTCATATCTACGCTTGATGATAATTTATTCATAGACTTCGTTACGTCTATGCAGCACTGTTGTGCAGTAGAAAGGCTATTGTATCGTAACTTGATACCTTTGGCCGCATTTACAGTAAATTATAACCGTTATCGCTATTTACAGAAACTTCTACTATTAACATAACAAATGTATGGATAAATACGCGTAAAATACAAAGGAAAGTAAAAAATATCTTTCATGATTCCAAGCTAATAATTGTTAAAATGCTCCTATTTAAAAATGTATTTCACGTTTGTGAGATAAAGTAACTTATTTGATGTAAGCACAATTGAACTTTAGCTTCTACTGGGAAAACCCGTTGGTTGATAAGATCATATGAAAAATAAATAATATTTTGTTGGCTAATAATTTATGTTATTTAAATGTCTTTATAAATAATGTTGATTAATTAATGAAAAGCGTTGATAGATCTGTGACTGCGATCTAACGTAGGATCTAACGTAACGGAGGATCGATTACACGCAAACTTGTAGTTAACTTCTTGCATGTTGTTTGCAAAACTTTGAGTTTCCACTGCTAGTGGACGTGTACAAAAACATCTTGACAATGTACGTGTTCAAATACACACAACAAAAATCAGAACAATCATAATATGAAACATGTTTCTTTACGGAAAGTCATGGAAATTCAATCCTATGAGAAAATAGTTTCCACGCTATGTTCTACCTAATATACTTGGCGATACAAACAATACAATTCATTAAATTGAAAAGGCAAGGCGTATGAAATCTCACTTGCTAGACAAGAATAAATCTCGTTACAATTTTTTCAGAGTCGTAACACCAATTTGAATCAGACTTCTGATTATCATTATAGATATGATTATACGAAAATATTGCATGATAATAAGTATTCTACGAGCACAAAGCGAAGTACTAAGCATGTTGCAACGCTGTCGAGTGGTCGTCGTTCCGCCTTCGATCACATTTCACTCGGCCACCACAATGAAACGACTCGTTAACCAGCCGTCAGATGAATGCAGTCTTGTGCAACACACCCTGCAATCTAAGAATATGGATTTTGTTACACGCCCTTTGAACGATCGTAAATTCACGTTGCCGTATTCATAATAGCGGTTTATACCAATTTTATGGTTGTTAAGTTTCTTACAACGTATATTCAATTGAAATAAAGATACTATTATACTATGTTTATCTTAAGTATTGAATAACAACTGAACAAGATTCTACTCATATTGAACATTGATGCATATAATGATGATCGTCTGGGATGACCTTATATCTGACATAAACAGATTTTCAATATGCAATTAGAGTAACATTCAAATAGATATTTTGTTTCTTTTTAAAACATACCTAACGAAATTATATCCATAAATTTTCGCATAAAAGTTATAAAACAAACTTGTATAGAGTTCGTATCAGTGCGCAGTTAATTCTGCTCGATGCCACGTGTAACGAACACAATCAGTGTTCAAACTACGAAATGAGATTTCAGGACAAATATTATCCTATTTGCGTTCCATTTTCCATGGAACATGCCATACGTACCAACATGATTGGTATTTATTCAATATATATCTGGCTTTCATGTTTATAGTTTTTTCAATTTTTAAAATGAACGAAAACTAATTTTAAATGTCATTAATCATTACTAAAAATGTTAATAAGTATTACTGAGGTATATTGTAGATTTTATTGGTGCTAAAATTGAACATAACATTACCACCAATGCTCATGAAAGTACAATACTAGTATATTTTGATAGATATTGCTCGAAGCAACGGCCGCGCGCCGATAACATGTCCAAAATAACTCAACAGAACATCTCAAACGCTGCACAGATAACATCACGTATAATACTTCTTTTATTATTTACATTGTAATATAATGACCGTCTTTTTGTTATTGAAATGTCAAATATTCGAGGAAAACGTTACAATTTATAAATGTTAGGCCTAATTTTAGTCCCTCTCCCTTCACATCCGCTTTTTAAGAGCAAAGGATGGGAAGGAAAAGTGGATTTGACGGTGGAGGAGACGCATAGGAAGGGGAAATATCCTTTATGTGCGTCTCCTCCGTCGATTGATGATGCATATGGGCAGCGGTCGCTTTCCACTTCGGTGATTCAGGTGGCCGCTTGCTCGTTTGCCACCTTATGATATAAAAAAAATATTCTGTTCAATCTTTACATAGCAAGTTCAAAATCAATTTAATCATTATAAACGAAACTTATGTTTATTTTTATTTCGAGTCACTATTAAGTGTTTCTGACAAGGGTTATGACTTTTAGTTTATCTAGAAGATAAGTTTTTTTGGTATTAAGACGTAGCAGCAGAATAAGTGATCCTAACTGTCAAACAACATTTTTTAATATACGATTAAGATCAGTTTAACTTACCCTAGAGACATTTCTTTAAGAATAGAAAATATTAAAACAACTGCTGATCAAAATTAACCCTTGTCACTGTCAGAAACTAGCTTTAACTGTACTAAGTAAACAATATTTAAAAGAATAATTCAGCACGCTACCAACCCTTCAATACATAGATATAACCTTGCATAGTTTATAAGTATCATATAAGATAGTAATAATTATGTAGAAATAATATTTACATATAAATTATTAACATATAAACATACCTCTGCAAACGACTAGTAACCCCATTATCAGTTTGGCTGCAATAAATTAAATGATTTATATGTTGCAATTGATTTGCAAATATCACATAAATTTCAATTAGCAACTGAACACGACTAGAGCTGCATTAACAAATAATAGCCTACACTCGTATCACTAAAATTTTAGAAATATTAAAGTCAATACGTCAACACGGTATCAAACGAGATCGTTTATCGATCTATTTTTGAAAAAAAAAAACCATAGAGCTAGTTAAAAAAACCATAGAGCTCAAAACTATCGAGAAATGTACAGTTAGTATTTCAAAGCAATTTAATTTGGATTGTCACAAAACAGTGCAGTAGGAATTCAGCGTTTAGTAAGTAGCCTAAACTCCACATAATCTCAACAAATGGACACTAAACAACTGGCAACTAGAAATTTTAGTGGAAATAACTCAAATGCTGTAAAAAAATATGGGTTTTGTCACATTTATATCCGACTTGAAGTTACAAGAACGTTATGTATTATCTAAAGTTCAAACTGGGAGAATCTTCTATAGGTAACTCGATCTATGTAAATATATAAGACTTAAAACATGCGCACTGTAATTAACATGATGATGTATTGTAATTAATGACAGGAATCAGATGTTTAAAAGCTATTTGGCATGTACGACGGGCAACGAGAAGACGCCTGCATGCCTTTTTAATCCGACGTCTAGAATAATTACCGCAACTCATAAATAACGTTCACATTCCGTTGTTTATTACAAAGGAAATTAATTGTTATTTGTTAAGTCGTAAACAATCATTTGTTTGTTGCAGCCGCAGCGGAAAAATGGTGCAAAGCTCGCAAGGGTGGCGAGGGAGGAGGCGCGGCCTACGGTGCCCGCGTCGCAACAAAACTCTACGAGTAAGAAACCTCTTTCTTCTATAGGCCAGACTGATTAATGGTCACTCCAGGGGGTCTTTTAATAAGATTTTACTTAACTAATTATTATACGACTCTAAAAGCAGCAGTAATATTTAATGGTACTTTAAGGTTATGATTATTATGTAATTTGTAACATAATTGTAACGAATAAGTAGAAAATAACCACAAGGTGGTAATAATTAATTAAGGATGTGATTAAATTAAATAAAATGTCACATTGGTGATGAGATTGCAATCGAAAATTCGTTTAATTTATAATTTAATTTACTTTGAACGTGAAGATCAAAAGCTAAATAAATTCATTGATTAAAGATTAGATCGAGTCTGCTCATGAAGTCTTAAAAATTAATCGCGAATACGAATCTTAAGACTTTATGCATTGAACGATTAATTTAAAAATATTAAAATTACTATTAAAAAGTTTTTAAGTAATGTTTGAGAGAAATGTTCTTTAAATGTGTCATTCACACAGTTGTAAATCATTTGTTTTCAGTTAAATTCATCCAGGGTGGTTGCGATCTGAATTCGTGCCCGGAGGACGCGGCGTGCATGCACTTCAACAGTACAGTACACTACTGCATCTGCACATCAAACGCTGAACCCGCCAAGGATGACTTGAAGTGCCCGCGTAGCATCGGTAATTACAGAAACAACTTGTATTTTTCCACACAATAAAAGAAAACATTCATTAATTCATAGATCTTTCTAACTTCATTGACTGAACATTTTTTTTATCATTTTTCTGTTTTTAAATACTTAATTTTCATTCGTAGTTTTATGATAACTAAATCAATATGTATTGTAATTCCACTTTTTTATATTTAAAGCTTTATGTTACTTTAATCTCGTATCTTAAATTTAATAGATATTTCCAGAAATTAATTTAATACTCGTAGTTTTGGTATTCCAATTAAATAAATAGATTCAATACAATGACGAACTACAGTATTGTTTCCCGCTTTTAGTCAGTACTAAAGAACTAACTATGGCTATTGATGCAAACCGCTCGAGCTTTCATTATAGTTGGGCATTATTTTAAGTATACATTTCAATTATAACTTATGAGTTATTGTAATACTCTATTCTCAGTAAATATTTCACGTAACATAAACAACAAACAATATTTCAATAGTTAAATGATCGACTGGATGAATAATGTTGCCTGCAGTTATTATTTATGGTAATTTCACTATCATTTGGCTGCGTTTCGCTTCAAGTTCTTTATTTATAAACAGTTAAGGTAACAATTTATTGCGTATTGCGTACATTGATTGCGAATACAAAACATTTGCATACTTTTAACTGCTGTACGCAGGGTTGGGCCTTGTATTTGGCAATTTATACGATGGAATAACAAACTCTCATATCCGTGTTATTCAAACAGAGTGATTAATATAATTTACATTTAAAACAATGACTCTATCTCTTTTTAAGATGCTTACACTTTGAATGCAATTGAAGCATAAAAAAGTTGCAACTGAATATTGTTTTTAACACATTCTCTGCCTAACAGGCCGATATCGGCCTGACGCGGTACTTAAGCTAGTGCGGACGCAGAAATTAATGTCCCTCTCGCTAGTGCGAAACGATTATCTTAGGTATATTCAATACATTACATAAAATGTATACATTATATTTCTACAAAATTATAGCAATTTAATCTATCCTACTGGTGGGTCTAGAAAGACCTGCCACGCACTGGCGGAAATATCATTGGGGGCGCATTTTGGCCCGCCGCTGCACCAGATGAAGAAGTATGATTTCACTTGCTGCGGTAAACGTGTTAAACCAATGTAACAAATGACTACCAATAATAGATACAAAAAATAATTATTGTATCTTCGTTATTAAAAGAACTTCGTAACTTTATGTGTTTTGTTTCAGTACCATTGAGTCCGATTGCGATACACAACATCATCCCACCTCTGACGTCGAACAGCTCGACAGATGGAAGACATGCCCTGCCACCTACACCTGCACAGGTAAAGAAATACAAAGTCTCATACAATCAATTTCTAGATCATAAAACCAAGAGGCAACAACCATCAGACAGATTGATCTCCATTGCATTTGTTGACGTGTAAAAACTAAATGATTACAGCTTGGTCTAAGAAGAGATTAAAAAACGAACATTTGCTGATAAATGTAATTTTACTCTTGAATAAAGAACTACGCATATATTCGGAGATTTTTATATAAATGATTCATATTTTAACTCACTGTTTTCATTAACTTTATCACTGTGTATTGATTGTGAGATCCATTGGCGTCAGAATGTTAACGAAATCAGTGCTTTTCCGTAGCGACTGATAAATATTCATAATAGGTGCGGGGTGATAACATTGACAACGTCCCGCGAATTGGGGGACGTGCAAAAAATTGATGAAATCTTGATGGACTCATGACGTCATAAATATGAATCATGTTTACGTTTTCTTAAATACGTACTTAATCTACGATTTGCCTTAACAGTTTATCTCCTTGTTGTTTAGGCTTAGCGTCGCTGTAATTATATAAATTATATATTAGCCATATATTGGCGCTACAGTTACTGATATAAAGTTGATAATTCATTTTTATTTACTATTAATTTTGCCAACAGTCCCCAAAATCCCTGGTGAGCAGCGAAGAGTTTTCGGAGTCTCCTCTGAGCGATACATCGTTTGTGAAACCGGGCGGCAACATTGGCGCTAGTGAGCACATACTCATTGGGGCGGTAGTCGGGGGAGCACTTCTTCTATTCCTGATAGCAACGGCTATATTCCTCTATATCAGAAGACGCATGTGCCCTGTCGACGGAAAAGTAAAACCGGTAAGAACGCAGCTGTATTGTTAAGAACTATACTGATACGATATAGACATTTTAATAGAGCTTTTTAATTTATGTTTTTTCATTGCATTTTAAACATGAACTTAACTAAACTCTCTAAAATAACTATTTTGTGAATTTGGAAACGTTTAATAATTTAAAAATGATCATAAAATCCTTCAAGCTTCTATTACCCACTATTTTAAAACATTCCAATGGTACATGCTACTATTTTCTACAGCTATTTTAATCAAATGTCTCGTGAATCGCCCCAAAATAGCTGAGATTATGTTTGTAGCGTATCAGACCTGGGGAACCACTGCTTGCTGAACGGTATATAACGAACCCGCAGTACGGCGTGTGCGGCGCTGCTCCGGGCTCGCCGGACCCGCGGCGGACTGACGACAACGAGCCTCAGGTGCCGCTGCTCGACCGCAAGGCGTTGACCTTCCTAGAGGAGGTCGGGGAGGGATGCTTCGGCAAAGTACACAAAGGTCGGTATTATTACCATACTACAATTTACACGTAATACCCGATAAGAACGATCAACAAGAAGTAGAGCAAATTTCATTGAAATTTTCTTTTACAAACTGAAATTTATAGTTTACGTATTTATTCTTATAGGAGTTCTAAGAACAAACAGCGGAGAACAAGTCGTGGCCATCAAAGTGCTGAAAGAGAGTGCAGGACGTAGCGCCGAAGAAGACTTCGTACGAGAAGTGTCCATAATGTCCGCATTCCGACATCCCAATATTTTAAGTCTTGTTGGAGTTGTATATAGAGGTGATTTATACATTTTAATTACTCGTATAACGTCTTTATCCAGATAATTCCTTGTAAACTTTACTTTCGGCTTCTACTTATAAAATTGATGAATAATATTTTGTTAATTATATCTTTTGCAGATGATATTAGTGCGAGTCCTTGGATGGTCTTTGAATATATGGAATGGGGAGACTTAGCAGGTGTGTTACGCGGGTCGCGAGGGGGCGGGAGATCGGGCCCGACGCTGGACAAGCCGAGCTTGCTTCACGTCGCTTTGCAAGTGGCACTCGGTATGCAGTACCTCGCCGCCCGCCGGTTCGTGCATCGAGACCTCGCAGCCAGGAACTGCTTGGTCGGCGCGCATCTCGCCGTTAAAATTGCCGACTTCGGCATGTCTCGGGACGTCTACACTTGTGATTACTACAAAATGGGAGGAGAAAGACCTATGCCTGTAAGATGGATGTCCCCAGAGAGCATAGTTTATGCTCGCTTCACTCACGAATCAGACGTCTGGTCGTATGGGGTCGTGCTTTGGGAGATCTACAGTCGGGGTAAACAACCATTCTATGGTCATAACAATGACGAGGCTACCAAATTAATTTTGAATGGCATAGTTCTAGTCCCACCGGAGGATTGCCCTATATTTGCCTGTGAACTGATGCGCGCATGTTGGGAGGAAGATCCTCGCAATAGAATCGGTTTTGACGAAATCTGTAGCAAATTGAAAACGGCGGCGGAAGCGGGAGGCACGACTACTCAAATGCGTTTACCGCGACCCCCAGCGCCTCCTCAAGATTCTTTAGGATACTTGGTGCCAGCGCGAAACCCACCGGTCAACTATTTCCAGCCGCTCCCTGACCCCGATCCGGAATCCGAGTTTAGCGAGGACGAAGACGATGATGAGGAATATACTTGACCTACGGCGATACCGTCAAGCTCTCAATATGTGCTACGTGATTCGGCGCAGGCGCAAGATCAAAACCCAGATGGCGCGCAATTTCAAAACCCGCCGCGAACCAGCCCTGATAAATCTCTTACGTCATATGTCTACGTCGATGTTACGACTATCAAACATGAAGAACAACTCGATGGAATTAATTAATACTCAATTGATTAGTGTGATATTTTTTTCTCTTCATATTAGTCTACGATCTAGGTAAATTATATCCAACACTTGGAATTGTTACCTTTCAATATCCACAAATATGATATACTCGTGCGTATAAAATGTATCTAAATATTTTGTGCCATAAAACATACCAAAATGTAAAGAAGATAGGTGTAATTGATTTTTAAAATAAATTCGAGTAAAAAATAAATAGGAAATAATAAGATTTACTTAAATTCGTTGGTAAAAAAACTCTGAAATTATTTCCTACTTATTATTTGTATTTAAAATAAGTGTAAATTGGTTGTTCATAGATGTCTTAATATAAGTTTAAAAATTAAGTATAATTAACTTGAATTAAAGGAAAAAGTACAATTTATACAAACTTTTAACAAGTCAGTGTTCGTTGGAAAGAATTATGTATTTGTTCTCGTAGCTCGTAGTGACAAAAATCGCAACCTACAAATGACTGATGAGGTAGAACTATGAAACACCTACCTCAATCATAATTTATTTATATTAATTGTATATAGTTACGATTGCTTGATATAAACTATAATCTTGTATACCGTAATATGTATTATAATACTTATTTAGATGCTGCTTTAAGGAGTTTTGTATACTCCTGGAAATAAATTTTATTATTTTTAATCGGATAACATTAAAAATAAATAAAGCAGTCCAACTTACTGTTTATTTAAATAACAGCACTGTACAAATTTAAGGGCAACAAAACCTTGTTTAGTGTATTTTGGCTCTCTAGAAAATTATTAACCCTAAACCTTTATAAATCAAAATATAACAAAAAGCATACTACTGGCGTTAATAAAAATATGATTAATGATTCCTTATAATGTTAAAAGTTGTGCACAAAGTTACTGTTCTAATTTTCAATTCATTTTGGTAGAGTTCGAAATAAAATTAACGCAACAAATGTAATGTTCAAAAATGTGAATACATTCGTTCCCCACCTTTTCTATTTTTATATAAGAATGGTTGTTAAATGTTTACTATTAATGTATGTTTGTAGAATATCGTGTGTATTATACATAGCGAAAGGTAAGATTCGTAAACCAACAACTGTATTAAAAAGAACCTGTATTGAAAATTACATAGTGAAAACCTATACTACTGTCTTTTTTTTTACCTTTTTTTATAAACATAACATAACAATAACATAAAACAATAAAAAGTTATCTTCAGTAATTACTTATGTACTTAATACCTACAAAAAAGTAATAATTATTTAAAAACCTACAGAGTAGTCACCTAGTCCAGTTAATTGCATTACTTTTTTTTTCATAATCCATCTCGTTGCAAAACGTTATGGCGAAACGGATGCCCAGTTCGCAGTTGGCCAGTTGAGTTGGACAACAAGAACACTCATTGGCGCCTGTTAACGTTCACACTGTGTCAGAAAATTGACGGTCCAATCAGAGCGCTTCTGACAAACTGTACTGGCCTAGTGTAAACCATGCATTATGGCAACATTGGAGTTGTGAAAATCAATCTGGCAATCTCAACTTGCGTCAATGCCAAACGCCACCGCCTTCTGTCACATCATTTTTCGCTCTCATTAGAATTTTTCGGCGTTTGGTGTTGTGAATGTTGCTCGACGTGTTCAAAATGTAAATAAGTGAACAAGACGAATAAAATAAAAAGTATTTCATATGCGGTGCATCAGTTTATTTCAATATGCCCCCTGTCAATTCTAAAGCAAAAAAGAATGGCGCTGAATATGAGGTAAATATTTGTATAGTTTTAACCCATTCTATCTATTTTTGCATGTAAATTTAGAAAGATGTAGAATATATTAATTCTATTTTTCATATTTCACGTTTACAAAGTTTCTAAAGTTTGATGGAATTTATTTATAAATTATTTCGTAAACTTTCATTTGCGCTAGAACATCTGCAATACGAATTTTGGATGTATTCAAAATAAATATATTCAAGGGCATTGCAGTTATCTTTTCAATAAATTGCATAAAAAAAATAAACACATAATTAATAATAACAACATAAATTTTATTTTATTATCATTGCAAATAATATTACGACCCAAACACGTAAAATGTTGCCGTTTTTATTTGTTTTTATATTTTTAATTCAAACAAATTACTGTAATTTTATGGTGACACATATACAAAAGTAACTTTGTATTGTTCTGTTAATTTGTGTGTAATGTTGACATAACATTTATTCTGTGTGTGGTATTGTTGAAGCAGGACCTTGTTTTGATATGAGATAATAACATTTAGTCATATTCATAGATAGCAATTATGTTATACTGTTAACACTAAAGTCTTTGTTGAACTCCTGCATAAGACTTACTTCAAGCTTTTGTAATGTAAAATTCTGTAGCTTTGCTAATATGGTCAGTACTGTCTACTATCATACTCATTTAAAGATTAACAGCCTTACAATTAAATGTGATATAAAGTTAAACTTAGGAATAAACTGAGTATAAGCAAAATTTGCGCTAATATTTGCTTACACTCAGTTTATTCCTAAGTTTTACTTTATACCGCATTTATTTGTAAGTCTGTAAAAATGTTTTATTACATTCTTTACTCATTAAATGGTTAAATTTTTGTATCATTTAAGGACTTGGATTTTCATTCATGGTTGTGAATATAGCATCAGTGGAAGCCTTACCTTTGATTTTATAGTCAATGCAGTATTTATATATACAACTATCAATGTATAATTAATATAAACATTTTTTACTTTTTCAGAATATACTTGCTAATAAAAGCACAGTGTTAGATTTTGAACAATACATCCAGGAGAACAAAACTTTATTGCTCAATGATCCTCTCAGGGATATACTCATATATCCTACTGATGATGTCTCTGTAAGTTGTTTTATCAATGTAATTGTATGACTTGAAATTGTATATATTGATGGTAGAAAGGCTATTTGTTTTAACCGCCAGTTTTGGGAGATATTAACTCATATATTCAGAATTTTAAATATGAAATAAGTAATGAAGTATGCAGAATTATAGTAATTTTAACCTAGAAGCGGTCTTAAAATCTAATAATTGAAATTATTTTCAGAATTTTGCTTTTATATTGTTTTCTATAAATGAAAACTTTTAATGGCTCTCCTGATAATTTAACATAATAGTGCTTAAAACAAATAGCCTTTCACCCTTTGATATGAAATATAATTTGTTTAAAAGATTTAGGGTGTGTTCCAAAATTCTTGTAATTTCGTTTGTCTGTGTAGAGTGTTGTTCTGCCGAGAAGATGGAGAACGGTAACAACAGCTGTGCCGGATGTAAGGACAGCAGCGACCTGTCCCCTGCTGACACGACAGGCACTACTCAGCTATGCCTCCAGTTGGAACCTCATACACTACAAATATAACAGCTATTCTGGAACATGTCTCAACTTGCCAAGGTAAGTACAGGATTTAATATTTATGTTAGCTGGAATTGTAGCTGAAAAAAAATTGTTGACTTTTCTGTATATTGTATAAATTATTTTATGGTATGAGAAGAAATTTTAAAATTATTAAAGTGAAAAATTACAGTTTAATTTATTTAGTGATATTTCCTAATAAATACACTTTTTTTTTAATTTAGTCACATTTATCATATGCGTATTCGACGTAGGTCCAAGGTTATTAAAAGTAGAGGAGTGATTGAATGTAATCTCGTTCGAATTTTAATCTACGCGGCTCAGGGATCATTACGGTATACGTTTTTACCGAGTTTATAACTGTACCGCAAATGATCTGTCCGAGCCACCGACTTTAGTCGAAGTTAGCCTCTAGATTATTATACTCTAATGGTCAGTAAATATTGTAGAGAAAGTCCAAATACTTATGTATTAAAGTAAATATTGAATCTTATTTACGTAAATGTATGCTATGTAAATGCGTTCGTAAACTTCCGGTCGGAATTAGTCGACTTATCTCTTTCGTTCTTTATCTGATGACATACAATGTCACGCCTATTGTATCCACAATAGTCATAACTATGACGTCACACAGCCAACATTATTTCCTTTACAAGATTTTTAACATACAGAAATATTCATTCGTTTGATAACTTGACCTACAAACATTACAATGCAATGGTTATGGAATAACTGGCCGTGACCTCGAGATACAAACTAGTGTTATAAAGATTTCCTTGAAGCCGGGACGTAATTTGCGCAATACAGTACTTGATGGCCGAAAATTATGCGCCGCTGACCACCTGGATATCCGCCCGGTTTGATATCTGGCCCAGAGTATTTCGGTAGATAGTAAAGGTTTTGTACGGTCATACCGTCAATAAAATATTAGCCTGTGAGTACTGACGAAGCACGCAATTAATTGTTATTTCTGTAATTTTAAACAGAGAGTGAACATTTTTAACTTTATCTACACAAAGACAGCATTGTGACGATAAAAACCAGAGCAAGAATGTTGGCAACCACTTTTTATAACAAAAGCGGCTAAATGAGCTATTTCACCCCATTTATGGAGATCCCTAACTCCGGAGGAACCGCAGATGCGTTTGCCGGACTTTAAGGAAGGAATACGCTCTTTTCTTGAAGCCCCTAACTCGTAACTGTAACCCTCTTAATCCCTTTGACCTTGCTAGAACTATTTATTTGCAAATACATCGTAAAAAGAATATTGTAAAACATATCTTCCCTATCACTAATGTACTCGTTCTATTATTACATTATCTGGTTTATGTTACATTCTATACATCACTAAAATACAAAAAGAACACAACAAAAGCGTTAACTCTCGACATATCAGCTCATTTGCTTATTAGCGAAACAATTAACATACGTTACACGGTCATGATAGGAATTTTTTGAAACTCGTAATGTTTCCTCGACTGCTATCAAACTGTATTATTTCCTGTAACTCGAAATATTATTCATTAGGCAAATCTATTTGTTATGGTGACGTATAAGAGTTTGTTGTAGGGCTTCCCGTTGTCTTCAATGCAACGTATAGCTTAAACTAATGCAATTTTATTGTCATAAACATAACACGTCTATATAAATGAAGATCTTAACATGGATATGACTATCTTAGAAAAAAATAATTCTTTGTTATAAAATTCCAAAGCATTTAAAGAATAACAAGGATGTTAGACATAACTTTATGTGACAATCTTAAGTTATATTAGACGGATATTCCGCAGGTGTAGAGTCGCGGTTGAGCAAATACCGGGACTTTAACAAATTAACTTTTATGATGCAACCGTTGCTTATCAAAAGCATTATTCACAAATGTTTTTTACCTTGCAGGTTATTAAATCACTAGCATCTTTCATTTACTAACAACCTTCAAGGTTTTGATGATGCTTTATTATTTTAGACAAATTGCATAATTTAGAAAGATAAATATAGAACAACTAATTTTCGCTTGCGATTCCGTCCTTGTGGAAATAAAAAAAAACAAAAGTGAATAGCCTATGTGTTCCTCCAGACTATCCTCTACATCTATACCAAATTTCATCGAAATCCGTTCAGCCGTTTAGGCTACAAACTCTAACTAACATCCATCAACCTAATAGTAATAATCGAAACTTTCGCATTTATAATATAAGCACGATCTATTTTAAGCTGTTCTAATACCAATATTATGGATAAAAACTTTTTAATTTCTCCCGCACAGATTAGTAGACGATAAATTGACTGAAGAAGTGTATGATATAGACGCGGAAAATGAAAGTGATAATGAAGCTCAAGCAGCCAAAGTGGACATTGGAACCAAAGAAGGGTATCTACTCAAAGGACCCGAAATCGGCTCAGATAGAATATTTAGTAATCTTGCCTCTAAATCGTTCAAGAAACGATATTGCTCAATGGTCAGGGAAGCGGACGGTGCCTACATACTCGAAGTATACAAAGATGAAAAGAAAACAGACACCAAACTTACCATCGTTATGGACTTTTGTTCCGATGTTGTTAGAGTAAGTGTTGTTTCCTATTGTATTCAATGCAACGTGAATCGATTTTAAACATCGACTTTTATTTGTAGAACACGAAGCGTGGACGATATTGTTTCGAGTTACGTATGGCCGCAAATAAAGGGTACACTTTTGCGACGGAAAATGAGGAGGAAATGAACGAATGGATAAACGCTTTCAAGGCTGCTTTAAAAAAGAATAGTCAGGAAAATAGTCAAGCAGAAGAAATATTAGACAAAGGTATTACTGTCCTTTGTTATTTTTTCAGCCACCGCCATCGTGACATAGAATCGTGACAAATAATTCTGTTTAATTTTAGTTTATCACTATTATACATAGTAAATGTTCATTAGTACAAAGAGATAGTATTTTTGTTATTAATAAATGTACAGAAAATACAAATATTCAGCTATTATCATCTTAACAGGATAAAAATATTGGATCCAAATCTTTTTGGTGTCTTTTCAAATGTGGACTACGTGATCAGAATACGCAATTTTACAAACACCAGTCGGCGGAATTGTAATAAATACCTATTTTTGTTTTTTACGCGAAACAGACAATCGTATAAATCTATCATTAGACAGGACAAGGTCAAGCTCGGATATGTTGAAAATAACAATATTTCGTTAATAGTTGCACTCGGAGATATAAATTTAATTGGATGTTTTCTGGGTCATTGTTAATAAGAATTACTTAAATGTTATCTTGCTTTTAAATGTGAAAAGATCTTGTTTTTATTTCATTTTGACCGTAAATAAAATTAAATGTTCTTAGATGCGGATATATCTTTGACTGCGGAACCACCTCCTCCTACATACGGGACCCTAAAGGGCTTGGAACAGAGCATGAACCCTCTTTTGATGCGGTACTCGAGAGAAACTGACATGTCTATAGCGGCGGCGAGGAATGAATCTCGCTCCAATATATTCTATTTGCCATACAAACGGACTCCTTCACCTGAACCACAATTAGAACCATTCAAGTAAGTAGTAAGTCTAACATGGACGTGAAAGTTTACGTCTAAAATACCTCTTTAACCACTGTTTATATTATGTTATTTTAAATGTGAAAACTAATTTGGTCTTTAAATTACCAGAGAGCACTTTGGTCAGAGAATTTTGCTCAAATGCGAGAGTTTAAAGTTCCGTCTGCAAGCGCCGATAGACGGCGACAAGGAGCTCCTGTGCCAAGTGGAGCCATACTACACGCACCTCGCGCTCTACGACGCCAGGAGCGCCTGCAAGCTCACCGAAGACTTCCACTTCGACCTCAACCACCCCGCCGTGGCTGACCTCACCAGGCACGCGGAATGCACCAAGTCGCTGGTCGAGAACTTTAGTTATGACGTCAAGTTGGATGTCAAACAGATATCTGAGGAATGGTTCAAGTCGAAGAAACAGGTATTAATGTTATGAAATACTAGCTTTCGCCTGCGACTCATTCCGCATGAAATTAAAAAAAAAGCAAAAGTGAGTAGCTTATGTGTTCTTCCAGATTCTCCTCTTTGACTCTGCCAAATTTTAACGAAATCCGTTCAGCCGTTTAAGCTACAAACTCTAATAAAATTATAACAATAATTTTTAAGAAAGGCAATGTTTTGTATATTTTGATAAAAATGTATGGATGAAAGGCCTTTTCGTATTTTTCAGGTGGTTTTATCAGTAAATAATCCTCATCCAGAATTGTTCCTAGTTGTGAAAATTGACAAAATCCTTCAAGGTCACGTGAGCCAAGTCCTAGAGCCGTATCTAAAGGCAACCAAAGACCCAAGGCTTGGCTTAAAAGTTCACAAAACAGTACAAGCGTACGCAAATCGCGTCGGCAACTATAGAATGCCCTTCGCTTGGGCTGCTAAACCTTTATTCAGGTAATGTTAATGTTTTTTCACAATGCAGAAACAACAACAGTAAAGCATATCGTTTTCTTAATTTATTATATGAAAATATATTTATTATATGGGAAGACACATGTACAATCAGCTACATAAATATGTATAAATTTACAATACTTTTATAGGTTTTCGTTTTCAAAAATAAGTATCCATGTCTGAGTCAATAATATTTATTCAGGTTCGAAAGTGTACAAACGAATAAGGCATGCATGTTTTTATTAAACCTGAGTTTCTGAAGCTTTGTAAACGAGTAAATTTTGTGCAGCTGACTGTACACACTGTCAATGATATTTGTAACCATAATAATATTCTATCTTAATTTTTCAGGCTTTACAGTAATGATTTGGATACAACTCCTGAATTCCCCGCAATATACCGACAGGAACCTAATAAGATGTCTGATGAAGATTTGCTTAAAATCCTATCGGATTATAGAAAACCTGAGAAATTGTCTAAACTGACCGTGGTGCCGGGCTGGCTCAGTATCACTATACAACATAGCAATGAACCTATACCAAGTAAGAAACAGGCATTTTTATTATATTTAAGAAATCCTACAACTCGAAATCTATGAATCCCCTTTTTTTGTGACTGAATGGCCACTGTTTGCCTTGAAGAGGCATTTACAGAGTCACCGGGCTTGAGGCCGAGCTCACATGGCGCTTAGCGTAAACCTAATGAACGACCCTTATTGCAGATTTTATATGACAAAATTAACTAACGGCTGAATGCTGAAACGACATAAAAATCTAGTAGCTTTTTAAATGATAAAGTCAAGTTTGAACTCCAAATTACAATAAAAAATTGAGTTGTCTCATTCGTTTCAATATTCAACCGTAAGATCGGCGGTAATCCTTTGGCTAATATTATTCACAACAAATTTGAATGATGACACAATTTTATAAAATTAGTTTTAAATACAGTTATCATTTTTTGTATACGAATATTTTCTTTCCAGATTGTATGACAAGTTCTTACGCAGCGTTGAAACCTTTCCCACTACCGCCTGCATTGCCGCTGACGTTGGAGCTGGCGACGCTGAACGTGGAGGCGGAGCAGCCGTACGCAGCGTACATACACCATTTGTACGTGCGACCTTTGTATTTGATCTTCGAGTCGCAGAAGCTGTTCGCTCGCGCGCGGAACATCGCCTGCTCTATTGAACTCAGAGATAATGATACGGGGGATAATAAACCTTTACAGGTTAGTTTTTTTTATAATAACTTAGGTATCTAATAAATTCAATTATTTAAAATTTAGTTTCAATTACCGGAATTTTTTTTTTAAATTTTCGTTTTAATAATTATTTGTAATAATTTGTTAATGAATAAAGGAAAAATTATTTTCCTTATTACTGCAGTTATTTCCTTGTGTGGTTAAACAAATTAGTGTTTGTTTTTTATTTTGTATTTGATTGTAGGTAATATACGGTCGTACAGGAATGATGTGTCAATACCGCTGCTCCGTGCTGCATCATAACGCTAACCCGAGCTGGTGTGATGAAGCCAAGATACGGCTGCCGGCCACCATCACCGCCAAACATCATCTGCTCTTCACATTTCATCATATTTCTTGTGATTTAACTAAAAAAAATGATACTAACGTTGAAACATGTATTGGGTAAGTCTTAGCTTGTAAAAATAAAATACATAACTTACTGATTTCAGTCAAATAAAATTTTAAATCTATTAGAATTATGCTTCAGACATTGTGATTAATTTGTAGGTATGCTTGGGTGCCGTTATTAAAAAATGACAAACTTATTGAAGAATTAATAAATCTACCAATAGCAACGCATTTACCGTCCGGATATCTGTCTATCCAACCTCTAGGGCTTGGCAAAGGGGTAAGTAATTCTTATGTTAACCTATTGTCAATTTCTTTAACTCCTATTATTATCTTGCTCATTACATTTTTGCGACCTTTAATGTAACAAGAATTCCATATTGTACTAGTTAAGATTGATTTGATAACCATGTTGAGGTCCAAAAAATGTCATTTGCTACTTTGTGATTGGATCTAGCTACTCCGCTCGTCAAGTCCTCTCATTTATTATCCATGTTACGTAGGAATTAAGTTAAAAAAAGTTACTTGTTTATGACTTGAGACAATACTGAATACAGTCTTTACATTCAGAACACAGGACCAGAAGTAGTGTGGGTAGAAGGTGAGAAACAGTTGTTCCGTTGCCAACTAGTCCTCGACTCCACCGTGGTGACGAGAGACATTCACCTGCACAACTTGTTCACTCACGCGGAGAGGTTGATAAAGAGCAACTCTCCCCCCACCTCGCCCTCCCCGCCGCCCTGGGGTGACGTCACCAACGCACTCAAGTCCGCGCACGCCATCAAACTGAGCTCTCTAATTGCCTTCTTGCCGACAATATTCAATCAACTGTTTGAACTTATGGTAAGGAATTATTTATCTACCGGCTTTTGCCCGCGACTCCGTCCGCGTGGAATTAAAAAAATAAATAAATGTAATTAGCCTATGTGTTCTTTCAGACTATTTTATGTTTAGACAAAATTTTATCGAAATCCTTTTAGCTGTTTAAGGTACAAACTATAACAAATATCCATCTAAACTTTCGCTTTTAAATAGTAAGATAAGATAGTCGAACGTAATACAAAATAATATATCTAAATGATTTTACCCTAATGAAGCTGTAATTATGGAATTATAAAAAACAAACTCGTTTGTGTCAATTAAAATTTAAGTCCTGAAATGTTTTAAAATAAATCCATAGACAATAAATAACATTGTTATTGACATGCGTAAAAGTTATTCCTCATTTCCATTGTATTCCAATAAAAAATTATAATTTGATTGTCATAATTGCAATTTGATATATTTATTTTTATTAACAGACAGTTGAAAAAGGCTACTCTCACGACATGGGATATCAGATTGTGAAATTAATCGTCCAGTTCGTTCATATGATCCATGATTATGGAAGGAAAGATTTACTCGACAGCTATGTGAAGGTATTTCAACATTATTTAAAGCTATGTGACCTTATTATATTAACAATTTAATAATTGTATTGTGTTTTCCAGTATGTGTTTAACTGTGTTGAATTCAAATTGCACACAGTGTTGACTGCGCCCCTGCACATGTTTGTAGACCCGAATCAACAAGATTTCTTGCTCGGTCAAAAGTTTATGCAGTATTCAAACTTTTTCTTTGATATTATCATAAAGAGTATGGCTCAGTATCTTATAAATACTGGAAGGATAAAGGTATTGTTTGTGATTTTTGTTATTACACTTATCCTGCTCGAAGGACCATAAAGTTAATTTCTAGTACTTGTTAATTAGTAATGTTTTATGGTACTTTCAGATGTCAAGGCATGAAAGATTTCACGCGGATCTTCTAGAAAACATAGACAAATTGGTGACAGTTGTTGAGCCATCTTATATTTTACAACAACCAATGCAGACTCACATTTTTAACAAGAATCTCGCATTCTTCCTAAAGGTATTTTTTTAGGCAATGAATTTCATAGTTATTTTAAACATTTATTAAATATGTATTTTTGTTGCAGTCGTGTCTTTCGTTTATGGATCGAGGTTTTGTTTTCCGACAAATAAAGAAATACCTCGATAAATTCAAGTCATGCGATCCAAAGGCACTTTTCGACTTTAAATTCACGTTTCTACAAACGATATGCTCACACGAACATTTTGTACCATTTAACTTACCGCTACAAGCTAACAAAATGTTCAAAGACAGTGATGAAGGTTAGTTTTTAAAGTATTTTTTGTAATTGAAAATTTCAATTGAATAGTATATTGAATTAAGACATTTTTTTTAGATCCAACTAAATTGAAGCTTACTGATGATTTTATTATGAGGCATTTTCTTGCTGGGATTCTTTTAAAGCAGGTAAAATTGAAACGCAAAATATTTCACAAGGACGCTTCCTTTCCTCTTTACTCAAGCAAAAACACTATCTTTTAACGTTTAAAATGTATTTACGTACGAAATGTTTTTCGTGTATACACTTGATAACGAACAAGGTATGGATGGATTGTGTGAAAGAGGATATGCTTATGAAGGGAGTGGATTCAGATATGATGGCTGACAGAAATGTATACAAAAGTAACACATACAGTGCCGACCCTTCGTAGGGACATGGACAAGTTGATGACGGTGTAATAGAACTTTATAATATGTTTTACTAGCTCACGCCCGCGACTCCGTCCGCGATGTGTAAAAAAAACATAAGTGAGTAGCCTACATATATGTTCCTCCAGACTATCCTCTACATCTATACCAAATTCGCAAGTCGTTTAGGCTACAAACTCTAACAAACATCCATCCATCTAAACTTTCGCATTTATAATATTAGTATGATAAATTTAGATAGAGCAGTCGCTGCGCGAGGCTCCGCAGAAGCGGCGCAGTGCGCTGGGCGTGCTGCGCGCGCTGCTCACCAAGCACGAGCACGACGACCGCTACCGCACGCGGCAGGCGCGCGCGCGCCTCGCGCAGCTCTACGCGCCCTGGCTCACCATTGTACTCGGTAAGGAAACCATTTTAAAATGAACTCCTATTTTTTTAGTGACTTTTTCCCCCATATGGGGAAAAATCAAGCTATTGCTAAACTAAATAATGCAACCTTTCCAACGACAAAGATAGTATAATGATATCTAGAAAGTTCTATGTTAATTAAAAATATTGGAATGTCGTAACATTCATATTTGAAAACATACAATAATGATTTTTATTTAATTTGGCAGATAACGCTCATCGCTTAGTGACAAAATCTCTGGCTAGTCCGATAATAGAAAACGGAGAGGATAAACTGGACGGAGACGCGACAACAACGTCTATATTGAACAGTACGCAAAAAGATGTCACCTCAGCAAACAGCACGCCGAGACGAAACAGGCTGACTTTGCATTTTGATCATACCCCTATTAGAAATTCAACACATTTCAAAGAACCACTTAATATACAGCCGAGTAACATGTATGGAAAAGGTATGATAAAACGATTATTTCTGTTTAATATTGCTTTTGGGATTTTTTAACTAAAGCTCTATTTCCACTGGCACTGGCGACTGCTATACAAAGTAGTCGCCGGACTCAGTGGAAATAGACACTAAATGGTTACATGTAATGGGTGCAATGGTTTTTTGTAGATAACACAAATAACATATCGCAAAGTTCTCTCGAGTCGGTGTCCACAATGTCCGGCGGAGATTCCTTACCAAGGAATACGAAGCTGGAATTGACCGATATTGGTGATCAGGTTAATCGGTAATTGTCCTTCAGTTAATTATCGGTAAACTTCTTGAACGGGACTTCACAAAAATACAGTAATATTTTATCTTTAAAAAGGATGAGTCAACTAAAATTGTATAAAATAATAGCTTATGTCATTCTAAGAATAAATACACATCTATTGATCACAACTTCTTACAGATATGTTAGGTATTTCTAACATTGTTTAGTAACAAACAATCATTTAAGCGCAAATAGCCTAATGTTTTGGGGTACGGAGTACCGATCTTGCGGTGGACAGTTCGATTCCCGTCATTCGACTATTGTTGTACCATATCCTACGGTGCGATTTTCGTAGAATTTTCTGCCTCGCACAGCCGCGTTGTGGAACGGTCTGTCCACGGCGGTATTTCCAAATACGACTTGGGATCTTTCAAGAACCGAGCCTACAATTTCCTCAAAGGCCTGCAACGCTTCTGTAGTTTCTCTGGTGTTGCGGATGTCCATGGGCGTCGTTGACCACCTTTGTGTTCCCGCCGCTCGTTTGCCCCCTTCTCATAAAAAAAAAGAAAAAAATAGCACAAGCCTAGAGCTTAGTTGGAATGGTTAAAGGAAATATTAGTAAATTAACAAAAATCTACTATTATTAAAAAAAAGTTCAAGAAGTTTGCTGTTTTTTACTAACAAATGGTTGTGCAAGTGATTTATGTCGCGTGTTGTCTGTCCAGATTCGGAGTGATGTCCCCCGAAGAGGTGCGCGATGTTCTCTTGTGTTTTTTGTTCGTTCTCAAATATTTGGATGAAGATAGACTCATTGAGTGGTGGAGGACTCACACACAAGCACAGCAGCAGTCTTTCTTTAATGTTTTAGAGTAAGTTACATTATAAATGGAAATGTACTAAGAAAGTCATTACTAGCTGATGCCCGCGATTTCGTCCTCGTGGAATTTCATGGAAAAAAGTCAAAAAGTAGCCTATATTACTCATTGGAAACGTAGCTTTTTAATGGAGCAAGAATTTTTGAATTAGGCCCAGTAGTTTTTGAGTTATTTCAATACGTACAAAAATCGACAAATATTTTTTTTCTTTTTTATAATGTTGGTATAGACAAACTAATATCAATTTTAGCGTAATCTTTGTTTTTTTTTTCAGAATATGTGCAGAACAATTTCAATATGTTGGTAAAAAAAAGATTTTGACAGAATTAAAAGTGCCGACGCCCGATTGTAATGGGAAACCGAAGCCAGTGAAAGCGCGGACTTTACCAGCTAGAATGAGCCCTCCCGACTTTTCAAAGGAACCTCCGATTATAGTGGAAAAGAATAACACAGTAAATAGAGAGAATCTTGTCACTGCAACTGTGACCACGGGTAATTAAGCTATATAGTGTAACAACAAACGCTAGCGTTCACCCGCGACTCCATCCGCGAGGAATAGCCTACGTCTTCCGTCAAACTATATTTACATCTCTATGGTATCACGTCATCGAGATTTGTTCAGCTGCTTAGGTTATAAACTGTAACAAATATCTATATAACCTTTCCCTTTTTACTTCTTACTATTATTATAAATGCGAAAGATGAGATGGAAGGATTTTTGTTAGAGGTTGTAGTCTAAACTGCTGAACGAATTTCGATTTAATTTGGCACAGATGTAGAGGATAGTCTCGATGAACACATAGACTACTTTTGTTTTTTAATCCCACGCAGACGAAGTCGCGGGCGAAAGCTATTTTATAATATAAGTATAAAATACAGTTAGTAAGATATGGTGATTTGTAATTTGCTTTAGGCTAAGACTTCTGGAAGGTTGTCTTCCCTACAGGTAGGGTATCTTTTTAAGACTTCCACCCTTATAACAAAAAAATGGACTTCTGGAAGATGAAACGAACTTAATATTGTGTATATATGTAATAAAATATTTCCAGAACTAGAAGCGATGTCAGAGCACGCGGTGTTGACCGCGGGTTGCCTGGCCACCGAGGTGGGTCTGGTGATCATCGACCGCGCCTGCCTCTTCATGAAGCAGGTGGGCGTGGCGGAGGGCGCGGCCGCCAAGCCCTATCTGAAGCTGCTGCAGCTGCCGCAGAGCGAAACTCTGTATAAACATCTGTTTGCCGCACTCAGAGCTTATATTAATCAGTTCTCGGAGACGCTATTTGAAGGTAAAATATGTTAAATTCAAAAATTAATAAGTGCTTCAATTTTTTTTTGCTTTAAAGTCAAAGATGTTTAAAATAAATTTAGACGAAGCATAGTGAACAAATTTTATTCACCGGTACTTTCTCTGAATGGTACTATATCAATTGTCAAATTTAAATATGATTTATTGACCTATTGGTAATTAATTTAAATACAATAAATTATATCGATATGTTTTTAGGTTATCAATAGATAGCGTTAGTGATCATGTGAAAAATGTCTTAAGTGGTAACTATGCCTCTTCTATATATGTGTTTAATCTCTTTGTATGAACCTATTTAGATTCAATTATGACAGCTTATGGTTGGAGATAATCACGTAAGAGTAAGTTTTAGCCTTGCTAAAATTGAAGATTAAAATTGTATTGGTTTCAGTTTTTCTTTATTTTAATCTGCTAGTGTTTAATATGACGGCTGAAAATTGTATTTTTTGCAGTGTTTCTTTTGAAAAAATTGTATCTGGTTTAATTTTTTTTTATACAATAAGGTGGCATGCGACCAAGCGGCCACTTAAATCCTCCGAAATGCAGATGCCCATAGACTTTTGCAATTGCAGATGCGTTGCCTACTAAATGAGGTTGTTTGATGTAACAGGCGGCAGCTCGCTGTGCGCGGGCGTGGTGAGCAGCGTGGTGCGGCAGTGCGGAGCGCGCGCGGCCTGGCTGCGGCGCGAGGCGGCCGCCGCGCTCTACCTGCTCATGCGCGCCAACTTCCAGCACGCCGCCGCCGGCAACCTCACCAGGGTGCATCTGCAGGTCTGTGCCACTAAGAAATACTAACAGTGACTAACTAACTAACAGTGGTAGTGCCTGCTTTAACATCTTAGCACTGCAGGGCCGACACGCCCCCAGTAATACCACGACCACACAGAAGACAGGCGTGAAATGGAAGCAATTCCGTGTTTCCTCTGATGAGTGTGGTGCCAGAGGCCTACTTGAAGTCCCTTTCTCTTTACCATCCTTTTCTTATAAGGAGAGGTTGGGAAGGGGAAGTGGATTTGACGGTGGAGGAGATGCATAGGAAGGGGAATTATCCTCTTTATGTGCGTCTCCTCCTCCTTCGTATAAGGGTAGGCAACGCATCTGCAATTGCGGATGTCTATGGGCAGCGGTCGCTTCACCCTTTTGGCGGATTCTAGTGTCCGCTTGCTCGTTTGCCACCTTATGTTATAAAAAAAAAATACTAAATTGTCTCATTTTGTCATTTTTATATGGGAAAATAGTTTACGTTACATTTACTTTAAGTTCATCTTACTAATGGTATGAATGTGAAAGCTTGGATGGATTGTTAGAGTTTGCCACTTACACGGTTGATCGGATCAAAGTTAGCATAAATGTTGAGCATAGTCGCGAAAAACAAATAGGACTATATGACGCGGACGGGATCGCGGCAGAAAGCTTATCTATACTGTACAATAGCTAAGTTTATACATTTTCATAAATAATGAGTTGCTATATATTCCTAGTTTTCGTTTAAATTTGTGTATTTCACTTATAATTTTAATTTAATAGTTTATGAATTTATAACTTTAAACTGTCGTGGTTTTTACAAATATAATGTTCGTAAGATACGGGTTTCTTCAAACAATTCAATCGTGGTAAGAAACCTGTATCTTACGAACATTAAGTTTATGAATTTGTTTATTTTGTTATAGAAAATTAATTTTGTCCATACAGGTGATAATAGCCGTGTCGAAACTACTGGATACATCGACTGCACTTAACTGCAAACGATTCCAAGAATCTCTTTCTGTCATTAACTGCTTTGCAACTGGCGATAAAGCTATGAAAGGCACCGGTGAGTAAACTTAAGCTTATTGTGATGTAAATAATATTTTTATAACTTAGTTACAAGATATTATTTGTATAGGATTATCAAGCGAAGTGGCGGAACTAATGCGACGGGTGCGCACCGTAGTGGGAGCCCGAGCGCGCCTGGCGGGCGTCGGCGGTGCTGCGGGCTCAGGTTTATATCTTTTAAATACTAAAAACTAAAAAAAAGATGTAACAGTTATTTCATTATCAACCTGCACTTATAAACTACGGAACAAACAATCCATCCATACTTTCTTCAGTATCCCTCTACTTTTGGAGCCATCCACATTTAATCTTAATACTTTTTGTAATCTGTTTATGTATATCATCTCTCTGTATATGTCCATACTACACTATCCTTTCGATTCTCAATTTTGCCACCACTGGTGCTACTTTCAAACTTCCTCTAATATCCACCACCCATGTGTACCAGTTGCGGTTATTTAATTGCTTTTAACTATATTTCATATGTACTATGTATGTGTGCGGTAGGCGGCGGCGTGCAGCTGTCGGAGCTGCAGCACGCGCTGGCGGCGTCGTGCCGCGCCACGCCGCGCCTGCGCCACGCCTGGCTGGCCACGCTCGCAGACCACAACGCGCGGCACGCAGACCACGATGAGGTCAGTCATACATTATAATCAAATAATATTCATTGAAAAAACTAAGGCTCTAATGTATACTGAGTGTGCACATACTAAATACTGAAACTTATCTCAGTAGTGTTAGGTAGAAAATTAGTACCGTGCTGTAGAATTGGCACAACACTAGTTTATCGGTATAAACGTCACGTCCCTAGCTGACAGCTGTCAATGTCATTAGAAGGATGGATATTCGCTCGCATTCCTGACGAGATGTCTAATGCAGTGTTAAAATTAATATCGCTAGTTACAATTATATTAAATGTTTAAAAGTCGCGCCGTCTATTATTGTGTTTTTAAAACGACATTTTTTTTCATTAAATTACTCCTAATTTTACAAAAAAAAACTTTCTTAATTTAGAATAAATTCGAAATATCAAGTAAAATGGAGCAAATCAAATAAAATATCAAATAACAAGGGGCTCATTTTGTACTAATATAGAATTTTACTTCCTCTATGGACGTAGGAAGTAATATTTTAGTCGTTTTTAATCGACAATATCTTCTTTTACCTTTATTCCTGATGTCAATGGGAACAGTCCTATGCCACGGGCATAGGCCGGTTGTACACTTTTTGTTATTATTTAAATCTACAATTATTGTATACCGTTTTTGTATCTAGGCTATGTGTTGTCACCTGCACATCGCCGCACTCATAGCGGAGTACCTGAAGCAGCGCGGCACTCAGAGTTGGGGCGCGGACACCTTCGCTGACATCTCTATGAACATACCACGAGACGAAACTGGACTCAAGATAGACGAAGGTCAGTGAAACAATTCAATACTCGTGTTATATATTTATCTGTAAATAATTTTAACTGACGCATTCAATCGCTTAGACAGTTTTTAACAACCTTAGTAACTAATTCACTTATTATTTTAACACTTATGTTCCTATATTAATGTCAGTAGGGACTAATTTGCAATCTTCTTTGTAATCGTAAGATAAAACTTGTTGTGTCAAATGTTTGAATGTTTCCAAAGAACAGAATGCCTCGCATCCTACTACTTCTATCAGACGAGGTTCCGCGGAGTCGTCGTCCCAGTAATATATCTGGAACAGACAAGTTAAATTATATTAATTCTATCATGAATAATTCAAAATAGTGTCTTTTGTTGTATTGGTTATCAATTTTATAAACGGCTAGTACATATTTTTTAAGTTATCATTATGTTAACCAGATTCGGACAAAATTTAAATAATGATTTCCTCAATTTTTTTACGATATCTGTTGGCCAAAGATATAAAAAATTGGTGCAGATACTTTTTGTTAAATACAATCAAATCTAATTTCGTCTTAACATTAAGAATCACTAGCTTTCGCTTGCGACTATGACCAAGTGAAATTAAAAAAAAAAAAAACAAAAGCAATTTGCTTATGTGTTCTTTAAAAAATTTCATCAAGATCCGCTCAGGTTAGGCTATAAACTTTAACAAACCTCCATCCAAACTTTTGCATTTTGATATTTAAGATTCATATACCTTAAAACCGTATCGTTTCGCGATGGGGTCGACAGCCTTGTGTTCGTTGGAGGGTAGTTTCTCGTGTAGCTCTATGACGAGCGCCGCGCCGGGGTCCGGGGTGCGCGGGGGCGGCGCCACGCACGCGGCCAGCAGCGCCGCCACCGACACCGGGCTGCCGATACGGACAACTAAACTGCGACCAGACCCACTTTCTAATGATTCTTTTATTATCTGGTTTAATAACGCCCCTGAAAAAATACGTCAATGTGATAAACTGCATAATTGTGTTCTTAGTTAGAAAATTTGCCAGTAGATTTTTTAATAATGGACTTCATAACGTTCCTAAACCATCTAACGCAAACTTACGCTAAATTGTTAGCATTATTCGCATAGCTGTTGAGATTGTCGATTGTTTCGAAGCCAATTCAACTGTTTAGTTGCACAAGGCGTATGCTCTTATGGTTAAAAATATTCATATTATATCAAAGTTCTAAAACCTTAAATTTTAATAATAATAAGCAATATACCGATCAGAATTAATTGACATAGAAATCAATCATGTTTTACGTACAGATTATTTTTTATTTGCTTTTTTTATTTAAATGACTATCGTAGAATGTTGAACCTTGACCTTAAGCGTTTATAAAACTAAATATAAGAGGAAAATTGCAGCTTCTAACCAGTTCTTTGTCTAATTTAAAATTTAAATTAAAATCATAAAAAAGTAGCTTTATAGTCAAAGCCATATTTTAGTAATAATGTAAAAAAACTTTAGTAAAATGTAAAACTCACCGCCGCTCAATTTCTTCAATAGGTTGTTGTGAAACATCATCATAAATTCCAGTCTTGCGATATCCATTAGCTTTCTTTTCACGTGTTTAGCCCATTTTGGATTTGCGACTTTTATATCATCCTATAGAGGCAAAAATAATATTAATATACAACACTACAGTAATCTAGAAGATACGTTTTATACATCTCAAATATTTAATACTAGCTTTCGCCCACGACTCATCCGCGTGCAATGCAAAAAAGCAAAAATAAGTAGCCTATGTATTCTTCCAGACTATCCTCTACATCCATGGAAAATTTCATCGAGATTGATGAACCACAAACTCTAACAAACATCCATCCATCTAAATTTTGCATTTATAATATTAGTAAGATGTGAAGATGATAGAAGAAGTTCCTTGCAAGTGACTAGGACTTACTTGTATTGTAAATAGATTATTGAGATAAAAAGCTTCTCTTGGCGTGCTGAAGTTGGTATTAGTAAGTGTTGCGATTTTATGGAAGAAGTCGCGGTATGGCGCTAACAGTCCCTCCTCCGTGAAAGCTTGTAGTATTCTCTCCTTTTCTTGGTTATATCGGGGACAGTTCTCTTCGTATAGTAACTGAAATTATTATAACTTTATTTCAATGTTTATTAATTAAAGTTTGATACAATGTGATTATTTCAAAATTGTATGGATGTTGGATCTAATGTACACATTGGGTTTTAGTTCCGAATAAACAGGGAACTTTGCTTCCCACTTAGAATATCTGATTGAAGTTTGTGCAGCAAACAGAAACGAAACAGATTTCGTTGCTGTTTGCTGGGTAGGAAAAAAATGTCCTCGACTGTAAACAGTATACAATATGTCTCAAAATTATATATAACTATACGTACGTAGTCAGTATCTCTTGGTGGATACGAGTAGGGTACAGGCTGCCATTGCATGGTGTCGTTCCACACCTGCTCGGCGGGCGGCGGCCACAGGCCAGCGGATATCAACAGCGCGCTAACCTTGCTCAAATCCGTGTCCGATGTTATCACGACGTGTTTACCTGAGTACAAAACATTATACTGTGACAAGTAAGGTTTGAGAAGATTTGTCAGATTTTTTATTAAAATAGTAGTCTGCGAATTTTCTTACCATCTTCGTAATAAGGTCCTAAGAATTGATTATATCTTTTCCTAAGTAATGCGCCCATTTCGAACGTTGCCATTTTTCCTTCCTGAAAAATAACATTTCATTTAACATGTGACAGTTGATTTGACTTAATTTAACAATAACAGCAATAATAGACATAACCAAGTGGCCAAGATTATCCATCAGCAACTTGCCCTTAAATATGCTCTTGTGGAGTCTGAGGTACCATATTACCAATATCAGCCTACACCAGTTCTGGAAAATAGCCGTATCACGATCTACTGGGACCGATCTATTATTACGGACAGGACTATTGCTGCCAATAGACCTGATATAGTAATAATAGATCGGTCTGAGAGTTGTGTAATGTTAGTCGATGTTACTATCCCACATGACGAGAATCTCGTGAAAGCCGAAAATGAAAAACTATTAAAATATTTGGATTTGGCTCACGAGATTACCGCCATGTGGCGTATGAAATCGACTACCATTATTCCGATAGTCGTTTCGGCACACGGGCTGATAGCGAAGAGCTTCGACCAACACCTCAAGAAGCTCTCGCTAGACAGTTGGATTAAGGGCCCGATTCAAAAGGCGGTTATTTTAGAAACCGCACGACTAGTGAGGAGGTTCCTGTCTCTGCAGCCCTGACCACTGGTTGCTTGAGTCATCGGATTCCGCAGCCGGTGGTGCTCTATTTTTTTATATAATATGTTTTATTTTGTTATTTTTTTAAGAAAATCATGTGAAATATATTATATATAAAAATAAGAAAATAAAGATATGAGATAATAAACAGCAATAAACTGAATATGTCTTCAGTTTGTTATCAATCACACTTTTAATAGACAATTAATTTGACAATAACATCGTATGATCCTATGATGTTGAAACATGACCTAAATCGTACTTAGAGGCCAACGAACTGGACTGATTTTTGATTTAATTGAAGTTTCATCTTATAGAGTATCGGTTTCTTCGTCATTTATGATAGAGCACAAATTCGAATATTTTATTTTAATCAACTAGTTTCATTAGTGTATACTGTAGCTTTTAAAATTATAGTTATGATACTAAATGGATCCTCTGTCTATTTGCTGGTCTGTGGTGGTCTGCAGCGGGCAATAAATCATTATTAGGCGTAGACGATAATCTGCGTATGCGACACCTCGTTCCTGTTTAGATCGACCTTCGGCTCGCGGCTCCCTCCCGACGCCAGGAAGCTAATCTTTCGGTTGATGCCACTTCTCGTGCACGAAACGTCGCTATGATCATGATGACATTTATAGTACATTCGGACACCTGGTCAAAATGATTTAAAGTAAATTGTACCAGGTATGATAATCGAATTTATGACGTCAGTAATGATTAACATTATGCGGTTTCCTCTTGAATTTGGAAATATATGCAGGCAGTGCTAACATCGCCTATCAATAATGTCATACATTTTATCTATGTAATGAAGCGTTCTGTTCAAGAGATAAAAAAACATTATCATGTATGTTGCGATAACCTTTGGATAGCCAGAATATTAGATGCAGTGATATCTTTAAAATCATCCAAAATAGGGTTGCAACAAATTGCAGTCGCTGAAAAATAATTTAGGCTATGGCAAATAAAAGCGATTGATTAACCTTAGTCTATTCTATTTGTATTTTTTTTTTATAATAAAGTCAGAAGTAAGTTTCATCTAATCTGTGTTTGCACATATGTAATTTGTTACGGTCAACATGTGACAAATTGAGGAACTACGGTGGCAGCCTCTTTTGTTGGAAACATATCTAGCGATTCCCACGCGATAACGTGCAATATGTATACAAACACGATTTCAATACTTCAATACAAATTTATAGCTTACGGTCTCTTTGACCGTTTTAATTTTTTCTATATCTATTGTATAATAAATAGTCAATGTATACATAATAGTACTTCCTATTATAGTATCATCTATTATTATCATATTAAATTACGTCTTCATGGCCATAGAAGGTTTTATAAATAACCAAAAGGTAGCCAAATTACAAAGGTAGCCAAATTAAATTAATTAAAATTAAACCCAATATTAACTTTTAGAAATGTAATCGATTATAGGTGCACACAGATCCGTATTGTCCCTAGCTATCTCTACCATTTATCTTTCTAATATTATAAATGCAAATCCTAATTATAAGTGTACAAATGCACTATTGTAAATGTGTCTTACATTAGTCAATGCGCCGGCGCCGTAAGGTGCGAACACATGTTCAGGCGGGGGCGCGCCCAGCATCGCCAGCTCGCGTTCGCTTGGGGTGCGTTCGCCGTGCGACATAAGCTGCACATATACATATATGCGTACTTCATTATCAGTAGTAAAAGAGATTCTTCCTCAGTGAAGCGTCCTTCACTGCTCTATGCGCCTTCTCCAGAAAACAATATAAAACAGACACCAAGGTTCCTTTAGCTTTGTAACGCTGTAGCGTACAAGAAAGTTAGTGTGTACTCGTTTGTATAAAAATAATCATACTGCAATTATTTCATATTTAGCTTTCTATTTATAAAACCTAAAATCGTCTCTAATTTAAATATGTATTTACTCACCACGTGAACTTGTCGTAGAACGGTGACTTCCACTGTTGTATCTTTCATTAGAATCACAGCAACGAGGGCTGATGAATTTTAATAATAATTTAATATAACCTTTCTTTGCATATTATTTTATTCAAGTTTAACATGACTATTACGTGAAAGTGAGTTACAGAAAGAGTTCTTAAAATGGAAACCATTCTTTAGTTAACTAATTGGTATCATATACTGACCGGCGATGAGTGAGACGCCCACCAACACGCCGAGGCAGCAGCACGTGCGCTCAGTGCGGCTGCCTTGCACCTCCTCCGCCGCGTTGGTCGGCTCCTCCTCGCGACCGCCCTCTTTCCTGCACACCGTACACACCTTTATGCAACCACCTAGTCCTATGCGAAACCTATCCTTTTCCTCAAGAGAATACCCTAGTAGTAAGCACTGTTGTTGTTCACCTCCCTGTCCCAAGCATGTTTCCTATAGTCGTCTGTAACCGTATCTAGTACTAACGTAACGGCGAAGTATTATGTGCATCTTCCACTAGACTCATACATAGACACTAGTATCATAAAAACATCCAACTTAAGTTTTAGAGATTTTGTATTCGGTTGTTAAAGTTTTGTTAGGTTTCTAATTTACGTTAAGATGATGACATATCGCTTTATATTAACTCAACCTTATTTATTACTTTATTAAACCAATAAATAACAGTTTTTATATTCGTAGTATGCAAACGGTTGCATGAGTAAATAAATTCAATTGCTAATTGCGCTACTGATCACAATGACAAGTCATTAACCGCTTCAGAACTAGTCAAGTGAATTGGAACGTACACGTGCCTACCGACTTTATTATTCCGGTCGACGTTAATAAGAAGACAGAGACACCGCTGAACTTATTTCAAACACAACTCACATTTTCCTCCGACGAGTCGGCAGCTCTACATCGTAGGTCGGACGTGATACGGCTTTGGATTTAATTATGAAAGGATATATCGTTTGATAACTACGTTCGAAACATTTAGACAACACTGGCACTAGCGATCGTTCTGTTTGTGGGGTGTTCCTTTGGATGTGAGGCAGGAAGCGCTCGAGGCGACCCGCTGCGTCCCACTGAGCGGTGCGGGTGACGGGTCGCGGGATGCCCGCCGTATTCACGGTCGCTACGACCTGCCGCCGCGTCAGATGATTGACTTTGACCAATCGATTGTGGCCGGCTATCTTAGCACGGTGCGCGTTCGCACGACAATGCGAATCAGCCAGTTCAGACTCCCTCGTAACGCCCTTGCTGACGTCACATTCAATGGACGGCTCGGATTTTTCATTATAGCTCGCGAACCCGGCAGAACAATCACCGTTTACGTCACACTGTTGTGATACAGTCCGTTTCATTCGCATCACATAATACCATTCGAGCAACTCTTTTCATTTTTCATTTATGTTGTAAATCTTTACATAACTTTATATACACTGGGCATATTAGAATGTTTATATTTAGAACGAATGCGTGGTAGAAGTGGTGCAATTGAAGATTGATTCGGATCCCCTCGCGTAGCCCTCTCCTCACTGTCAACACGGCTGCTTTGATTTGTCTGATGGAGTGAATTAAAAAATTGCGAGCTCTGCGTGCGAACGAAACATATCTTCCGCTTTCATGCTAAACTATCTTAGCAAATATATCTTCACATACAAATTGAATATTAACTGGGATAAACTATTTCTTACGAACCCACATATTGTTACCACTGTATCGTATAAAAGAATCATCTAAGCATATAAAAAGTACTTACCTTATGCACAATACACTTGATAGTTTTACCATATTAGTAATGATCAATAATGCATGTCATTACAAAACAAATAAAATGAAGCACAAGCTACCAGACAAGTAGTATTGTCTATGTACACTGTCTTTGTTACACAACACAATCATCTGAGTATCTGTAATTAATAAACAATAACTATAAAATAATTTATTAGTTGAGAACTAAAAAGCCAACTCTTTTATTTTTATTGTCTAGGTGTTATGGTAACTACTGCCAATTTCTCATTAAATAGATTAGAAACATTTGTCATAACAAAAATACTACCAGTTACACGCATTTGATAGATGGGTATAACCTCATACAGTAACGTATGTAAATATTTAATACATTTATTTGTTTAATTAATGTAATCTGTTAAACTAACTTCATGTCTGCCATTTGTTTGAAAAGCTATACACTGAAGCCATGAAAGATATCTATCTCAAGTACACGAATATAAATGTTTTCTTAAATAACGAATATTATCTCAATCATATACGATGAATAAAAGCAATGATACAAAGAACAGCCCTATTTCAATTTTGATGGTATAACATTAAGGGTTTGTCCCACCACTGGCTTATAGCGGCTCAGATACCTTAAAAATGACGTCACTGTCAGATAAGGGAACAAATTTCGATATTTCCATCACATATGTATTACACGTTGGATTGTTATCAGACAATTTACAATTTGGTGAGACAGGCCCTAAATTTTGTCCAAGATCTGCGTGGGTATGCAATACCGAAACATCTATACAAAAAACCTATGTGTTATCTCAGTTTATACCAGAGAAAATAAGCGAGATAGCAACGTTTCATTCGACAGTGTAAACCCTCAGTAAAATTATTAAGATTGGTTAATTCCATGTTCTTAATTCCATGAATTTTACTACTATTGTAATGAAAGAAAAGAAAAACAACTTGAATAAATCACAGCCACTTTATTATCCTTTATTTCACACGATTACAAGCATTTATGTAAATTTCGGTTAATCGTTATGCTAAGTTTTTTTTACTGGATTTTCGCAAATTAACTCGGTGGGTATCTTAATTAGATTTTTTTTTCAATGTGTCGTTTTACCAGTTTTTTTATCAATAAACCGGTTTGTACTTGGTTTCAGAATTCGAAGAACAGTTTGTCTTAAAATTATTTGAAACATTCCTCCTCGAATCTCTCCCTTGTAATGACCACGTTCTTAGTGAGATGTAGGAATGTGTCGTAATCACAGAATAATGAGTCCCCGCAGCCGTCGACTGGCAGAATTACATCTGGACCGCCAGCTATTGCAGCATACACCGCCTGTTAAAAACAAAAGTTATAGTTAAAATACTAGGATGTCCTATGGTGTCATTGTCACAAAAAATGATTGTGCCAGCTATCCACTTTATAACCTGTTCTATCGTAATCCTACGTTGCCCGAAAAAACTCACATATTCGCATTTCCAAACTATAAATATTTTAACGCGGTATTTTCCTGCAGAATTTTCTGACCGAGAGATTTGTGTTTAACATTTGCTAAGAACTGGTATAATGCAGTACCTCGATGCGTCATTTACACGAGCATAAAATCCATAATTAAAGTTAGTATAATTGCTAAATAATCCTTTATTTCAAATGGTTTATTCTTATTGCAGTAAAATGATAATGTTAGGAACATTATAAGTCATCGAGTAGGTGAGAAATTTTTCATTAAGCCGTAAAGCGAGAAATCGAAAGCGTTCGTATGTTTTGTTACAAATTAGTTTCTGAATCACGTGTGCGTATTTTATTTTATCACATATTATATGAATTCTTATATGAATTTCATTATACATTTTTTTACATTTATTTATTTTTTTCAAATGCATTTTTAACATGTTGGTCTTCTCTGCATAAATGCATAGATGCATGATTGTCACTGAAGCCTGAGATACTATGACCGCGTCAAATAGAAGAATCTTGTCTCTGCATACCTCTCTGAGTTCTATGACTATTATGGTGTATTTTTAGAAGATGTGGCATACCGAAAATCCATATTGTCCAGTATCATTTCTCCTCCTTAACTCCAATGAGAACGTAGACCCGTACTTAGGTTGGTGTGGTTGGAACACCCTGGCAGCTGCCATCAAGCCAGCCACGTTGTTTTCGTGTGCCGATACCAAGCGCATTTTTGGCTGATCCAAGTCACCGGCAACTGCTAATTTAGAAGCATTTATGATGTCTCCTAAAAGTACACCTGAAATGATATTGAAAGATTAACATAGTTGCAATAAGCTTGTCATTTCAGAAGCCTGATTGCAAACTAGGTCGTAATAGTATGATCATTGAAATGAATTGATTTACCTGAAGCTAGTCGTATCAAGTCATCGTCGTAGTATTCTATGGCGTACTCAATTTTCGTCATTTCTTTTATTTTCGGCATCACCTCCTGCGCCCATTTCGGTGGTTTAACTCCAACATTTTCCTAAAATGTATTTGTTAATTGTAAAAATGCTAATGATGCTAAAAATGTATGCTTGTAAACAAATACTTACTAATGTTTGAAATAGGTTGTCTAAGAAGAAAACGTCTTCGGGAGTTGTAATATTTGTGCCGGTTTTATCGCTCAAGTATGAATAAAAACTCTCATAAGGCTCTATCCACTTCTTAACCTCGGGTAATTCGTACACGCTGTTCCTCAGTTTTGTGTAACGAGGACAATTGTACCAGTACAGAAGCTGTAAAAATAAATATCGATAAAGTACAAATAGAATTTACATAGTTAACATGTTTTAAGCTAGAACTAGTCAGTGATATAGACGACGTTTGCACGATTACATAAGCAAAAGAATTTTGTCTATTTATAAACGAATGCTTTAACCTATTTACTTTACAAATAGTATAATAGTACACTCGAGGTTATTTTATTCCGTGCATGCATATTTATACCTTTCTCGGATTCATAAAGACATGAACACACGTCCGTCTTCTCAACTCAAATCATTATATCAGGGTAATATACTCACGTCGTCGTGTTGATATTCGAGCGTGTCGTACGGTACAGGTTGCCAGTTGAGTGCTGGGTTCCACCGCTGCGGCGGCAGGGGAGGGTACAACGCCGACATTGCCGTCAATGCGGTCATCTTTGTACGATCATAGTCCGTGGTTCGAACCTTGATCTCATCCGGAAGGTACAATTGAGAGATGAACTCGTCGTATCTCTCTCTAAGGTACTCCCCGACCTTGAAGCCACGCTGTTTACCTTTCTATTACAAAACCACTGTTACTAATGATACAATCTACGCTTAATAATGACAAACAATGCAGAAATAATGTATTTAAAATCTCATAGAAATAATCTTTTGAATCTTTACACTTCATACGTAATGATTGTAATAAGTAAACGGTTTTTTAATATGTTAAAGGTAAGTTTTGACTATTATAAGAATAAAGATAAAAAAAAACACCAACCCTAATCAAAGTGCCAGTAATCATACATAAGAAGCATGTAAACATTACCTAGGCAGTGAAATAACGAGTACCTTTATTTTCATTAATCAAAAGTTAATCTTAATTGAATTATGTAATTTAAAAATAAACATACGAAAAATACGATTCCTAAGATAAATATAAAAACATGCTTGACATTTATAAACTTTTGTACTATTTTTTGTATTATTTCGCTTCGGCAGAAATTTTATAAGTAACGATAGCATATTATTTAAGCTCTAGGTCTCACGAGCTATCTGCATTGGGCTCGACGCTGAAATAATTACCCCTAGTTATTAGATATTGATATTGTATTCTCTAATTTTGTTATCTCGATATGATAACACCTAAACTGTTATAAAAGAATGCTAATCATACACTAAGTATATTTTTATTTTAAACAAGATTCCTAAATTCTAATATGAATCAAGCAAATGTTAGGCACATTTCATAAAAAAAATATTAATGCTATATCTATCTAAGTTCAACAAAGACAACTAAACATTGTCTTATAATTAAGGTAACTATGCAATGCATACGTTTTAAATAATAATATACAAGATGTATAAAATTAAAAAATGTCGTCCTTTACATTTCACACGTCTGTTTATGATCGTAAATATAAATAGTTAAGGCCAAATGTATGCAAATTTACCGAATTGTTTACCGTAATACTGTTAGCACCAACACATTAGCACCTAAACACGTTTATCTTAATGTATTATAAAAACGTTAACGCAATTATTTCAATAATTAAAGTAATTTTGTTATTAATACCAACCTACGGTAATATTCAAAACCTATAAACTCACATTGGTTAGCGCTTTCTTTCCAAATGGAAAGAAAAGTTTGTCGCTTTTATCTTCAGCGGGATATTTATCCAGTTCCTCTTGGTCCGGTGTCCTGTCGCCGTGTCGGAAAATCTATAGAGAAAAATGTTTATGTGTATTTTATTATGTTAAGTTAATATGACGAATTATTATCTAAAAGTATTTGTATACTGCATTCTCCAACTTCAACAATTCATCTAATCTTGTATGTAAGCTATATTTTACCTTTCCGTACATCCTTATAACCTATCCTTTATACAGATTTCATTATCTACGTACGATCTCCGATTATCAGGAAGTTATATCATAGATGATAGGCGCAAATTGGCGCGAATCGTACATACCGAGAAAACTAGCACCGGTTCAGTGTTATCAATGCTTCTATGCACTAATTTATTATTAGATTGTATAGCTGCAGGCTTGTATTTACTGCACCCACCACCGCCCAACCCCACCGCCATCAGCACCACAAACAACAGCCCCATCTCAAAACGATTTCAAGCGTCAACCGACAGAGCGCGCCTTATCGGCATTATGTACGCGCGGTCGCGAGCCAATTTCGACTGCCATGCTCCGAGTCTTTGCTCCATTTATATAGATACAAGAGGGCCGAGAGGACTTCGCTATTTAGTATTGAATAGACGACTATGCGAACATTTATATTTGTCAAATTTATATTTATATAGTAGTGTAGTTTCCTGTTCTTAACTTTTTTAATTACTTAATTAAATTTTTCGAGACACATCTTGTAAAGTTACGGTCCCTGGCTTTAGTTTCTACCTGCATTATAATGTATGGCAAAATGCAATTAAAATGTATTCGATTCTGAAGGTTGCTTGATTTATGTATGGTATTGTCTCACCTTTATGTTCTTTATATTGTTTTAAATTACAGCTACTTAAAATATATTTTTATTTACCTGACATACTTCGAAGAAAAGAATAAGGTAGTTTAGACAAAACTATTAATATTATGCATGTAGTTGGTATTTTGGAGAAAATAATCACAAATATGGTAGTTAATGTGACGAATGTTTATGCATCGAAATTTACAAAACTCAAATATTGCAAAAAAAAATCGGCATTGTATACATGTATTAGTAAAAGTTTGGATGGATAGATGTTTTTTACATATCTTAGCATCTCATCTGTTGGGCATAGATGTGTACAGTCTAGAAGAATATATCATAAGTTGCTTACTAAGTTCTTTTTTAATTCCGCGAAGGAGTCGCAGGCAAAAGCTAGTTAGCCAATAAAAGTAATATAAAATTTGTCAGCTATTACAATTCAGTGAGTTTGTGGTCACCTTTAAACAACATTTTAAAATTCTTTTAACTGATGTCTATCGATTCATCAAAAGATTTCTTAGAATAACTTGAATCCATAAATAAAATACGATAAAATGCTTAAGGATGGAACTTAAACTTAGGCATTTTAGAATATATGTCTGCTAAAATTATGCAGCGACCTATCAGGTACTTCCCCCTATGTTATATTTACATAAGGTTTGTTTTATATTCTGTCTTAAGTCGTCAATCCGGATTTAAGTTCTAAGTAAAGTAATATTTCAACTAAAAAGATTATGTCTAGTCTTATATTAACTTAAACTACGAAGAAAAAGGACAAGGTTTTTAGTACTAGATAAAAAGTATTTACATAAGACTTACCAACTGAGGTTACACAAGGAAAGTCCGCTTTCAAAAAATGCTTGTTTAAAAATACACATTACTTCCTCCTAGAGTCCTAAATATTATCTGCATTTGAATAGTCTAGTCTTAAAGTCATTAAAAATGTGGGTAAAATCTTAGACTTTTCTAAACCGTCTTGTTTTTTTACCCCTAATGTGATCATTAAAAAAATAACTTTGAAGCGGAAAACTATACTACCAAATTATAAATAATATTTCTAGATAAAACAAGAAATTATAATTATTCAAGTCTAATAAGCCATTTTAAAACCTTGAAATCTCACGTGAATAGAAAACACGTGCTCATTTTACAGACACTCATTAGGTATATTTAATACAATGCCCGCATATTGTTTATGGTCTCATTAGCTTGAACTAAGTTATTCATATTGTTACTATGTTATAAGCCGGTCAAGACGAATTCTACTTTGATCTTTGCGTATATCTATCGAGTATGATGTTCAAATTTTGTTAAACTCTGTAAGGTAGAGCTATATGTAAACTGATTTACAAAATTCCCCTTTTCCCACTAGATACTGACGATATGTATGTCAGTATAATTCCTTAAGTTTTATTCAGTATACGTTCGTTTGTTTTAATAATGTAACCCGCTTTATGACAACTCGCTTAAAATATTGAAATAAACACAGAGTTTAGGACTCAAGAAAGGTAATTCCATTTAGAACTAAGCAAAATGTTAAATCTACCAATAAAACCACTGCAATTTCGTTCATTCCAGGTATGATTGACGTCCACTATAATGAACAATCATTATTGGAGCAACTAATGGTTTGCACGGAATACGTCGATAAGGCGGAGCGGTACGAACTGCTCGGCCCACTCTATCGTCTCATCATACCGATCTACGAACGTAAGAAGGATTACCAAGCACTCCTCGCCTGCTATCAACATTTGACCAAAGCATATGCCAAAGTTATAGAAGTAACAAACTCTGGAAAACGATTACTAGGAAGGTTCTATCGTGTTGCGTTCTTTGGTAAAGCTCACTTTGGCGAAGACGAAGAAGGCGTGGAGTTTATTTACAAAGAGCCAAAGTTGACATCGCTTAGTGAAATCTCCGAGAAGTTGCAAATGTATTATGAACAGAAATTCGGCGCCGGTTCCGTCAAGATGATTATGGATTCAGCACCGGTGAGTGTTTGATGATAATTTTAATACCAAATTAATAAAATTAAAGAGACTTCTTGCCTAAGCTGGTTTTTGTTACGTATTTTTCCTTGTCCATTTTTTGCCTATTTCATACCTTTTTTATTAAACTATTTTAATACCTTAGTATTAGTCTAGTCTACTTTTTGTACATATCTTCTATTTTAATAAGTATACTTATATTCTCGGAAAAATTTTGCCTTATCGTATTTTTTCAGTAAGATTATGTTTTACCCATAGAATTATAATTAACTTACCGTTGCCCGCGACTTTGTCCGGATTAGGAAACAGACGAACTGTGTAAATATCAAAAAAACTACGTGACTCTTAAGAACCGGACATTTTTCGGGGATGAACCTTATCCCATGTGTACTCCAGACTTTGTTTTATATCTGTGCCAAATTTCAATAAAATATGTTGAACCGTTGCAGAATGATCGAGTAAACATTAAATACAAAATTAATTCATCTCACGGGGACCGAACTATTTCCGGGATAAATAGTAGCCTGTGTGTTCGTCCAGACTATGCTCTACATCTGCGAATTTCATAAAGATTTGTTCAGCCGTTTAGGCTACAAACTAACAAACATCTATCGATCTAAACTTTCACATTTATATCAGGTGAACCGCGATGAGCTGGACAGCAAGCTGGCGTACATCCAGGTGACATGGGTGCGCGCGGCTCCGGAGGGGCGTGCGGCGGCGAGCGCGAGTGGTGAGGGCGCGTTCGAGCGCGCGCACAATGTCCGCCGCTTCGTGTTCGAGACGCCGTTCACTCGGGACGGTGCGCCGCGCGGACCTGTACACCACCAGCGGCTCAGGCTTACACATCTAACAGGTAATACTATTGAGAAAGTTAATCGTCATCTCTTTACAATTCGATACAGGCCTGAGAATCGGTGGGGCCATGGTTGGTGGTGGGTAGGAATCTCTTTAAAGTTTAATGATAATAATATGACATATCCCCCGCCAAAACAAAGTAATTTCCAATTCATTCCTAAACAGATATTGATAAGAATGACTGTTGTTGTAATATTAATCTTACTTCTTACTTCTTACTAATATTATTATTGCGAAAGTTTAGATGGATGGATGGATGTTAGAGTTTGCAGCCTAAACCGCTAAACGGATCTCGATGCAAATTGGCATGAATGTAGGTGATAGTCTGGAAGAACACATAGGATACTAATTTTTGTGTGTTTTGAATTCCACGCGGACGGAGTCGCGGCCGAAAGCTAGTAATGTAATATTTTTATGAATTAATTTAAAGGTTAAAAAAATAATTCCACAACTTTCTTGTGTTTAGTATAAAACCTTACAGAAAATTGCTAATGCTGAAGAATAGGCTCCTGTAACACTAATTTACATATTTGAATACTTATCGTTAGTAAATTTAGATCAAACATTTTATTGGGAATATCTAAATTTTTGTTATTGTTCTCAAAGTACTTTAAATACTGTATTAATTAAGATAATTTGAGTTCATACGCATACATTGAGTAATTTATTTACTGAATAATGATTATTATCTAAGTAAACTAGGCTATAAGGGTAATAAACATGAAAAGGGTACATCTGTTTTATCAAAAACATGATTCTACCCAATCGTAAATGATGTTCCTTGGTCTAAGATGTACAAAAATTTCCACATTTTTAACTATAGCAAATTTCATGTACAACCATTTCCATTCTTAACTTAAAAAGGGATACATGTATCCCTTTTTTTATTAATTTTATGATATACTAGCTATTGCTCGCGATTTTTTCTGCCTGAAATTAAAAAAAAAAACAAAGAAAAAAAACGTAGGAACTCCGCGATAATGTAGCTTTTAATTGGTAAAAGAATTTTTGAAATCAGCCTTAGTGGTTTTTTAAATATTTTTAAATATGGTAATAATGGTTTTTTAAGTATTTTTAAATATTTCAATAAATACGAATCTTTCCTGTTTATAATGTTGGTATAAATAAGTTTCTTTTTAATGTTTTCCAGCTGAATATTGGTTTCCGTACGTTAAGCGACGGATTCCCGTGATCGAGACTCAAGTAGAAGAGAAGAGTCCCATAGAAGTGGCGGTCGCGGAGATGGAGTCGCAGGTCACCGAACTCACGGAGATCGTCAACGCGAAGGCGCCAGATATAAAGAAACTACAACTAAGGTATTTGAATATTAAAATTGTAAGATTCTTACAACTTTGATAATTCTCTCATATTTATATGGTAACCAGAATACAATGCTTGCAGTGTTATAAATAATATGTACATCTATACTAACATCATAAAGTGGAAAATTTTGTTTGTTTGATTGTAATGAATAGGCTTAAAAACTACTGGGCCGATTTTAAACCTTCTTACACCGTTGGAAAGGTAATTTATCTGTGAGTGACATAGGCTATATTTTTTCATTTCTTTATTATTTTTAAATTTCACGAGCACAGATTCGCGAGCAAAAACTAGTCAAATTATAAAGGAAATCTTTCTTCTTACTAATATTATAATAGCGAAAGTTTAAATCGATGTATGGTAGAGTTTGTAGCTTAAACTGCTAAACGGGTCTCAATGAAATTTGAAATAGATGTAGAAGATAGTCTGGAAGAACACATGGGGTACTTTTTGTTTTTAATTCCTCGCGGACGGAGTCGCGGGCGAAGACTAATATACATTACATTTTAGCAGTAAATATAACAATTATCAGTATTGGTGAGTATATAAAGTGAGTAATGGTAATATATTGCAGGCTGCAGGGCAGCGTGTGCGTGCAGGTGAACGCGGGCCCGCTGGCGTACGCGCACGCCTTCCTCGACCCCACGCTCGCGCAGATGTACCCAGACGACCTCGTTGACAAACTCAAGTCTACATTCAAGTGAGGGTTTTATTACATTTTTAAATATAAGAATACTTATTGATCGAGATTTTTTTTTCTGGTACAAAAGTGAAAAAAGGCGTGCTAGGAGTTTTTTCTAATAAGTCTCAGCATGGGACAATGTTGGTTGTAGGTGGGGGAAATGTTGGACATTTTAATAAAAAACTGACAAATATTTTATCTACAGTTATCTATGGAGACACTTAAAAATTTTGAATTACTTCTCATATTTTTTTTGACACTGGGGATAAGGAGCCGCCCCCTTTCTATACTAACTTGAACTTGACGACGACGAAATTCTTGGTAATCACTGTAATAACATTTAATAATCATAATATGTGTTCCAGGGAGTTCCTAACAGTGTGTCATTCAGCGTTACAACTGAACGCGAAGCTGATCAGCTCTGACCAGGTGTCGTACCACGAGGCGCTGGAGGCCAACTACTACAAGGTGAGCGCGGCGCTGGCCGGCGTGCTGGGCCAGCCGCTGCACCACATCCTGCTCAACGGCAGCCTCACCGCCACCCTCACTGGCGTCGAACTGGACTCCAGTAATGCCTGAATCTATGCAAAAGTTCACTTTGGGGAAGAATAAAAAAGCGGGGAGTTTATACAAGGTCATAAGTTGACATCTAAGTTGAGAAGTTGCAAATGTATTACGGGCATTTGGAGAAATTTTGTGTCCATTGACGGTTCAAGGTCATCCGTACAAGCGTAGAGTAAATTTCTTTGAAATAATGTTCTACGCCGCGACCCGTGCTGTCCGAGCCGTCGACATATAACCAGTAATACTTTTACTGAATATCGGTTAATTTATATCGTTTGTCATATCTACTTGTTTAAATCACTAATGCGTCTCTAAGAATGGATTTAGTAAGAAATCTATGTTATGGGACTGATTAGATGAAAATTAAACGAGCCGATAAACTTTTGTCTCGTTATTTCTAAGGTTTTCAATATCAATTGTCTTGCTACGTATAATCTAAAAAAACAGTGAAATAATGTTCTTTGTAAAACCAGATTTATTACAACAAAGCGCTGGCAAAGCAATAGGTTTTTATTTCAGACATGTTGCAATGTTAATTCAACCAACTTATACAATTAATGCCGTCAATTAAAAAGATCCATCCTTTTTACAAGATACTGCCTGCACCAACCCATGACATTAACATATACGATAGTTAATTATAACTAGAAATAAACTAATAAACAAAAACATTAAAAAATACAACGCGACTGAAATAACTTGATACTTATATAACTCAGCCGTCCGTTTTCACTACTAGATTCTGTGCCCTTTTATGTTTTACTAGAGAACACAATTTTTCATGTCACTTCCATTACGACTTCCAATATTCCTAGACGATTTGACAGATTTTAATGACTCATAAGATGTCTTTTCCTGCTATAGCTACTCAAAGTTTCCACTGCTGAAACTTGTAAAAAAACATGTTACATCACCATCATCATAACACCGTCATCAACTTACATCCGAGGAGTTTGACACCTACTAAGTTAGGCGTGACTAGTGCTAGTAAACCACGAATGCTCTAGATAACCTCACCAAATCTTTAAATTATAAAATTCAAATAGTATCTTTTTGTACTTTTCAAAAGCGGAAAAACATGCTATTATTGTGATGTACAACAATAATAATTCACGCAGGTTTATTGGTATTTTAAAATTAACTGACCTTGTACAATCAGCAAAGCAAACTATTGTCGATCATCTCATCAGAATACTTCATGATGCAATCTATTTGATGCACTATACGATGACGTCATCGTATTCGAGTATGAGTAGGTAATTAACGCCAATTCTATCTCCTATTGTACTTTAGTATATAAGATATTTGTCCTATTCAAGTCTATATTAAAGTAATTAAGTTCCTTTATATGCTATCATAGCAATGTCTACGATTTCTCTTTATAGATTGTAAAATGTATAATCACACCCGTATAAAGTATTCTAAAGTTTGTTTTTTTATGCACCAAAGTAGGGACCTGATGATTTCCATTTCCACTTTCGTTTGTTGCTGTTTCCCTAATTTATTTTGTAATTTTTTTTATGTAAATTCACGATTTGTTTCATGATACAAGTTAAATGTTTATGTGAAAATATTTAAAATGTCTGTTTAATTTATTTTGTTAGATATTCATTGATAGTGCATTTTTGTTTTTTTTTTTATCATAGTCTAACCTAGAATATAAAAATCCTGCCTCGGGGGCGATTCAATTGACTTTATTGTATCACTTTTTAATGTGAACAAAGAAATAAGTTCCAATTTCTTACGCAATATGGAGAGGGTTTTTATATTTCTGGTCATGCTATAATTTTGATAGCTAATGTATTTGTATGAGTAATATTTTATTAGATGTACATGATTCATTTTTAATACTCTGTTCATTCCACAATTTATTTATTGACCCTAATGTAATTAATATTTAAATGTTAATATTCCCAATAGATCAGTTTTTCATAATGTTACAAGTATTCATTCACTCGTAAAAGTTCAGCGGATATTTGGTTTAACAACGCAATATTCATATTTTTTAACCGGTTTCTGAAATATCTTGCAATGCATCAATTCACACTCCTGTCAATTTGTAGCGTCAAAATTGTCAAATCACTGTCGGACATTATACAGATGATATAATTAAAATTTTGTTAAATAGCAAATAAGTAGAGATCAAAGGTTAAATCTTTCAGAACCCAGGAGTTAATTTTTTTTTAAATAAAAGTCTTACGCAATTTTAATTTTATTCGAATATTTGTTAGACAATTTTTAAGTGGATAGTACTTAATTTATATGAAAGGTGACAAAAAATTTGTGATTAATTATACCCTTTAAGTCAAACTGAGTATGCCATAAAAACGTTTATAGAGTTAGGATATATCCAATGTAGAATTTGTATTAATATTTTAATTGTGCACAAAATAAAGACTTGTGTGATTTACTCAACTGTAATCTCGATTTCGCTGTTTTAATACATTTTTAAAAACAACTTATGTTCTTATTATTTTCCCTTTTATAGTAACTGCTGAAGCGTATTAAGATCAGGTTTATAAACAACTGGGTACCGTCTTTTGATGGTTTTACCTCCTGCTTACGAGACGAGAACTCAAAACTCAAAGACAATCGGATATTGAGCATATAAAGGCCATCGCCCACTAACCCGCTCACCGCAATCTCCGTTTAATGTTCACCATAGACAAACATTCATTTTATACAGAATTATACTCGTTATTATTAAAAATAGTTATACGGATTCAATTGTAGTAGTTATTGACGATGATGATTAATAAATATGCAAAAAAAGAAAACTAATACGCAATTAATGTAGCCAAAATATCCTGACTTAGTTTTCTACTGACAGAATCGAATACAGATAATTCATATTATCTGTGGTTAGTGCAATACAAATACAAGTGCAAGTGTTTCTCGATTGGCGTAAGAATTTTATTGTAACAAATAGTTTTATTGTACGAACTTTATTAATTTTAGTCAAGGACATGGAAGACGAATTAGAGGACAGAGTTTTACACCAAACATATTTGTCTTTCATGAAAATTATTTCGAAATTTACCAGCAGTGTTGCGTTTGATACTCCGGTGAGCTATTTATGGAAGATGGTGCGTCTGTATTTACTTCGATCAGAGGTTGTCGTGTTCACATTAGGTATAATTATATTCTTCATGTATCTACAAACAATTGAATTATGGAGTCGAACATTACTCAGCAGATTGTCTCAAGCTATGAGTCCACTGAGTGCAGTTCAGCGTATGAAGCTTATGGAAGGTTCAGATTCAGATAAACAAAGCTGGGAACTAAAAGGTTCATTGAGTGCAGCTTACGCAATCAAAGGCCGGCGAATGCATATGGAAGACAAATTTATTATCAATGAAAACATAAACAATACTGGTGTTTCGTTGTTTGCAATTTTCGATGGTCACGGTGGCGAGTTTGCCGCCAATTATGCGAAAGACCACCTTATTCAGAATTTATACAACAAAGTGGTTGAACTGACTGCATTTAAGGATGGTAAAATGATCACACCACCCTTCGTGAATAGTCCAGATGAGCCAAAGGTGGAACAAGAAAGTAATGTCGTTGAAAGGAAAACTAGCTTCAAAAAGTCCATTAGTGCTGCCGACGATACATCTAGGAAGGAAATTACAGATCCAGAATTATTGGCACAATTGTCAAAAGCCAGACCTATTACAAGAGAAGTAAGAGCGAGCCCTAAGCCTGTTAAACAATTAGCTATACCACTGGCCAGTTATTTGGAAAAAGGTAAAATAAACTTCGGTAAACTGTTAACTGATGAAGTTTTGGCAGCTGACAGACTTCTGGTTGAAGCAGCTAAGAGATCCTTTAATGTTGCGGGCACTACTGCATTGTTAGCAATATTAGAAGACAACCAGTTGATTGTGGCCAATGTTGGCGACTCTAGAGGGGTTATGTGTGATTCCAAAGGAAATGCTATTCCTGTATCATTTGATCATAAACCACAACAGGTATGTAATATATGTTTATACATCTGTTGGTAGTTTTAGAAAAATTATGTAGCAATAGTCAATTTCTAACTGCTATATTTAGAAATAACATTTGTTACTTTATGATGATAGAAAACATAAACATGATAGAAAACAATCATAAACATTGTAGTGCATTTTCATCATCATCATCTCCCCTGCCTTATCCTACTCCCGTAGGGTCGGCGCACCGGGTTTTCGTCCTCCAAAGCATTCTATCATCCGTTATCTCAGTCAGTAGTGCATTTTATGGTGTGTAAACAGAAGTGAATCAAAATATCAATTTAGCTATTAAAATGGTAAATCCTCCATATAAATTTTGAATGCAATTGTATTTTGAAACATAGCATGTTGATCTAAGTTAATACTTGGGCCTATTACTAACTTAGACATATAAACATAAATAAATTTGATATTACACAAAATAATTATATGATGTGTATAATTTAATCTTAGTTTTAATAAACATTTTTGGTCGTAGGTAAGGGAACAGAAGAGGATAGAAGCTGCAGGAGGTTATATTGCATTTAATGGTGTTTGGAGAGTTGCTGGCATCCTTGCGACATCTCGTGCGATGGGGGATTACCCTCTAAAGGATAAAAAATTTGTCATAGCTGATCCAGACATACTTACATTCAATCTTGATGACCACAAACCAATGTTTCTAGTTCTTGCTTCTGATGGACTTTGGGACACATTTACTAATGAAGAGGCAATTAAATTTATAAAGGAAAGAATAGATGAGCCAGATTTTGGCGCCAAAAGTTTGACACTACAAGCATATTACAGGGGGTCCGTAGACAACATTACCGTTCTTATTATAAACTTTTTACAAAATAAATTTTCCTCATCAAATATTTCACAGTAAAACTGGTTGAAATATGTAATTGCTAAGATGTGTTGAATCACTATTATTAAGCATTAGAAATAAACTATACCAAAAGTATTTCAGCTATTTGTGTTGTAAGATGGACCTTTGCTATTTAAATACATATACCATTGTAATTGAATCTATTTTTAATGTAAAGCATAATATTTTTACCTGAAATCTTAGTAATGTATGTACATATATAGTTGTTCTGTAAAAAAACAAATGAAAGATGTATTTTATATTTTAGAATATACTTTTAAAGTCTCAATTTCAAAGATTTTTGAATGGTTGTGATTGGTAAGTGTATGTATGATGAACTATTATAATTGTTTGCTTATAGTAACATTAACTTTTATCGGGAATGGTTGAACTTTTTAACTAAATTATTAGACATATATCAATGTTGGTTACAATTAGGGTGTGTCCTTAACTCCTTGCCAGTACATAAAAGAAAATTACAGAAGTTATGTATTCTTTATATAATTATTGTTGATGTAAAGTATATTTTTAAAGCATTTGATAGTTGTATTATGTAATGTGAGGTTACCTTGGGTGCTAGTCATTGTTCATTTCATTTTAGTTTTGCATAATTTGTAGTGTAGCAAATTTGAGGTACAAATAATTTTATTAAATAATATGACTTAACAGAGTATACCTTTACAAAATCTTTTAAAATATATTTTTATATATCAATTAAACTTTATCAATAAACTAAATAATTTGTTCCATGGAAATGTATTTTATAAACTTTTTATCAAATATTGGCCTAAATCGGTCTTTTGTTTAATTGTACATAAAATTGGGGCCAAAACTTTGTGACGATTTGGTTATTATCCAAAAAATTAAAACTACATTTCTGCTAAAGGTCTTTAAAAGTTTGTGCCAAAATACTACTTAATAGGAACAGTGTATTTTAGCAGACTTAATGCAATATTACCTATAGTATTGTAGGTTTTATTTTAGTGCTATTTTCTTAGTTTTTTGCTTTTTAAAAATTATATGGCCATGTGTTAGGCCATGTAATGTGTTATGTGTGTTTTTTTGTAACAGATAAAAAATGATGTTATAAAAGTCTATAATAATCTGTGCCACTTTCCTATAATTAAGAAAAATAATATCTCTTAACATTACCACTTTTTTGGGATACCTACATATTACATGTTTAGATTGTGATAATAGTGTTTTCTTTCTACCCTACCCTTTTATGTATTTTTGATTTAATGCTGGGTAATACAAAAGCGTGGTTTATATAATATAGTTTAGAATGAATACAATACATTACATAGTACCCAGAATTAATAATTATTACGGCGACAGAACAATAGGAAAACGTTTACCATACACACTCAATACCTTACCACCTGAAAAAGCAAATCTAAATTCAAAATTAAAATTTCTTATTCTCATTAGGAAAGCTATCTTTTTGAAAATCCATGATTAGAATATTTTATTAATATACTGTATATATTATGTTTGTATTTTGTACTGTGTATGTTTGTATGTATTTGATGTAATTTTACACACATTTTATTACACAACTACACTCTACATAAAATTGTAATAAACACTGCACCCGTGGACAAACTAATCATATGGTTTTTGCAGGGCCATGTTTGTGTATTTATTTAAATTGTTTTTGTAAAATTTTCAATAAGTAAAAAAATATTGGAACTAAAATACACATGTAATACCACTCAAAGAGTATGTTGCGTAAAATGTTTTATGACTGGTACTAGACATTTGCTGTGTTCACGACCTCTTTTACACTTTATTTGCAAGGCAGCTCAAGTAAATAAAAAGAATATAAAGTGGCACAATCGGTACTAAATAATAAAACATTCGAGTTCAATATTTTATTTATAAAAATAAAACACAATCTTTGGTTTTATAACCAAAAAATGTAAGACAGATACAATAATTAGGTTATATGTTATGAAATATATATTTTTAAAATTAAACAGTACATAAGACTATCTACATTACTATAATGGCAATATGTTTGGCTTATTGGCACTGAACTGCTCCACAACATCGCCAAACATTTTGTGGCGTTTTTAATTTATAATAAATTTTTGTACAGTATATTCGAAGAGAGCAAATATTTATACATTCAATAATTTCGTTTTGTGATAATAAATAACCAAATATAAATGTGTTTTGTTAAATTACATTGTGACTAGTATGAGGTTCACACATACCTATGAAAAATTCAGTAGAAATGAAAAAATTGTAACAAATATATCTAAATTATTTTATTTATAAAAGGCTGATTGCAGACTTATCAAAGACATGTTTGTATAATTAATTTAGCAGTGTAACTTTACAAAAAAAAAATCCATAGACAACAATTGTCAGCCAGTAACATAAGTAAATATAATTTCTCATTTCCATTAAATTAGACTATACAAAAAGAGATTTCTGTCTCATTCAATCTTTTTTCAAAAACAGAGATAGAAATGTCTTTTTGTAGAAGTTTCTCAGCTACCCCCGAAACTGTTACAAAAAGTAATTGGTAATGAAAACAGACAGTATTGATTTAATTTGCTTGGTATGTTTTTAAACATTAAGAAGGCACTACGCAGTTTGCCAATGTATCAGTCTAAATATCAGTGCAGTAAGCATTTTATTTTAAATACAGAAAAAAAATAATATCATAGTATTTTTAAAAACAAAAATGTTTAAAGCTAGGTACAATATTGTTGCCACTTGCTTAAATATAACCCATATCAACTATTACATATAAAATAATATATCTTTTTTTAATAATTGTGATGCATGTATAGAAATGAATTTAATTACTTCATATAATCTCAAATTCATCATCTGAATCATCAAATTGTCTGTCAACATCCTCAAACTCTGAAATAAACAAAAAATATATCATCAATCTTTCTAATATAAAAGAGTATGGATGAATGTGTGATACCGCATAATTCCACAACAAATTTGAACAGATATAGATTTTTAAATAGGATAGGTTACTTCAGATTTATTTCAACGCGGGCAAAGTGCTACAGAGAATCAAATATCGTACTAAAATAAAACCAATATACAAAACATTTATTGCAACAAATCCCTAAAACTGCTTAATGTATCCCGACAAATTTAAGGAATGATGTAAATAGTCTGGAAGGACACAAAAGCTATGTTGTTTTTTGACTCCGCATGGTTGAAGTAACGGACAAAACTAGGGCAAATATGCAATTGTTGTTAATACAGTCAGTGTTACCTGTAAACAATGTAGTGTTCTGTAGATCTATATCGGCAGTGGAGGGTCCCCAGTGCGGCGGCCGCGTCGCGCACAGCTCGAACAGCGGCTGCGCCTCGCGCATCAAACTCTCCTCTATTACAACACACAGCTCATCGAAGTCACTCCTCGTGCGGCAAAGGAAACACTACAATTGGTAACATATAACTAAAAAGTCTTTCAAACAAAAATACAAAGACATTTCATAATAAATGCTTATTCGCTGGAAGTCAGTCATGGTTTGTTCGCACTAGTCTAGTAATTCAGTAGGTAAAATACTCTCGTCAATACAAATTGCATGTACTCGATCTTTATTGTAGTCACTTTTTTTTTCCTATATTATTAAAAAATAAGTGACTATATTTACTTAATTACTTACCATTTAACTAAATTACTAAAACGACTAAAATATCGACTTATTGGATTAGCTTTTTCTGTATCTACAATGTATTTATTTTAATAAAGCTTTTTAGTAATTAGTTAAAACGTCTAAATTAGCTACTTGACAATTACATTAGTTTGTGAGTAAAAAAAAATGTTTTGAATACTTACAACAGCTACTGATGGATCCATAGCAAGTATTGGTATTCGAGATGCGTATTTGCAGTGATAAGAACAATCCATCTCCTTTTGCTCATCTGTTAACTTATTCTAGAAAAAAAAACATTTTGAACTTTTTAATATACCTTTTTCATGGTAAAATTAGTATTTGGTTAATGACAGATCATACTAATATTAGTAGATAGATGTGTGTTAGAGTTAGTAGCTTAAATGGCATATGAAATTCAATAAAATTTGGTATAGATGTAGAGGATAGTCCAGAAGAACACTTAGGCTAATCATTTGTGTCCATTTTAATTACACGCAGACGGAGTCGCGGCCAAAAGCTAATATTTTATAAATGTAAAATTTAAAAATAACATGTGACTTACTTCAACAGGTCCTGATCTTTGTGTGGTATGAGGGTCTAAATATAAAACTTCATCACCAACACAACCAACTAGATATAGAGCTTGGTTCGGCTTTCCTCCTATAACACCAACAGATTGTGCTGTTTGGAAGCAAATCTGACAAAACAAAACAATTATGTAGATTATCAATTACTTCTTAGTAAAAGAAAATTGCTAACCCAATTCTCAACAATAATATGTAATATTTTATCAAACAAATATTAAAAAAAATTATGAATCTGAGTGAGCAAAGTAAGTGTTGAATTTTTTACCTTGAGACCATCAACATAAATTGGATTGATTTCACTTAGTCCTAATCTAAGAGGCACAATTAACAACAGCGGCATCCAATCTGACACGGTCATACATTCTGATGACTTTGATGAGTCACCTCTGTCATTCGTAACAATACATTGTTGAACTGGAAGCAAGAAAATATCATAAATATGTAAATAAATAGATCACTATGTGGTTATACTCGTTTTACTTACGTATATCCTCTTTTACAACAGTATTATCTAAAGCCACATGTATCACCAATGAACTCCATTTGTCATATACCACTAATTTTCTAGAAAAAAAAATGCATTGTCAGTTTAATATAACTAATTCAACATAAAAGAAGGCCATTATTACTCATTATTATATTAAAGACAGTTATAATGTTCTCACTTTAAAACTTGTGCTATTGTATTTGGCCCAAACCATTGTCCAACATCTTTACCCTCACTAGCTCCCATCAACGCAACCTGATGAATGGAATATGGTGCTTGCTTTCTCTCTTCAAATCTCTGTATAATTTTAAGGTATGTTGGGTCCCTGTAAAAATGTTAAAGAAAAATTCTAATAAGAATATTACACTTTGTGATGAATTTATTATTGTGAAATCTAGATTTTTCTGATTAATGAGAAGTTAAAGAAGAAAATGTAGAAATTCACTCATGTTAACATAATCTATTGTATTTAACATTAATTTTAAACTTTACGCTCGCATTTTACCTAGTTTCTGGACTCCAGACCCAGTCAGCACACAAGTGAACTCTGACCAGTGCTACGCCGAGAACCATTTGCCCACATCGCAACATGCAGCCCCAACCTTTATCCGACGTAAGCCCTTCATCTCCTATTGGAACAAACCCTTTTCTATACGTACACCAAATTATTGAACTAATGTCACGTCTTATACGGTCCAAATCTGAAATTCCAATATAACCCAATGTTACAGTTATTTCGTATTGAAAAGTAATTTGAAAATTTAGATTTAAGCACCTTGAATTGCGCTATATTTCTTTCCCAAAACCCAAACGTTTTCCTTTGTCTTAGGAATATCATCGGGCTCAACAGTTGTACCCTCAGATGACAAATAGCAAATATCAAACATCGCATCCATGGTGTAACATACTTTTCCAATTCTTGGCTAGAACTTAAGGTATAGTTATTAATTATAGAGATTCACTAAAAGACCAAGTCACGGCCCATTAAAAAGAACAAGAAATATTACAAATTGTGTTTTGTAAACATGTCAAACTGTCAAACATCCATTTCCACCACAGAACTACACAATTTCCACTGTCAAATAATGATGCTGCATGCTCCATCAACAGAGTACACATTATAATGTATTACGATTTTAACTTTAAGTATAGAAAACTAAGGCAATTCCGAGCTTGGCAAAAGATAAACTTATTTAGGTAGTTTTAGTGGTATCAATTCTGTATTTTAGAAGTAAATAATCTTTTGAAAACGAATTAAACAAACCTTAATAGATCCAGTATGAACAATATGAAAACAATAAGACAGTTGACGTTTGACGTTTGTCATTTATCATTCAGTTGTCAGATGTTAATGATAACATTCTCGAGTGTTTTTGAAAAACATCTGCTTTTCTAATATTATCATTTACATGATCAGCATTGAAATGATCACTTATTTTCTTTGTATTAATAATATTAATTAGTAAGCTTACTTTCATTGTATTAACATTGTAATAAGTCGAAAAGTGGCATCGAAAAATCTGTAATTTTAAGCCGCTATTTTACTATTAAAGGGAAAATAGAAATTGTGACCCACTTGTTAAGAAACCATGGAATCCAGTGCGTTAGACTTCGTGGCACAATCTTGTATGGACTTAACAGAAGTCCTGAACACCGCAGAATCTGAAGCAGACAGGGATATTTTGATCACTAATCATATAAAAAAAGTTACGTCTATAGTTACAGCTGTCGAGGATTTTAAAAAAGGTATGTCTTTAACTCATTACTGGTTTCATTAAATTTTTATTTGTAAGTTGCTAGATATTGTTTTAATTTAATTTAATTTTAATTTCAGATTTAGAATGGGTTAATGTATCAGAGCCTATTTCTCTGTCACAACATTGTAATGACAAAGTAGTAGTGTTGGACTTTTGGACGTATTGCTGCATTAATTGTTACCATGTTCTACCAGATTTGGCACATTTGGAAAAGCTGTATAATGTTGAATGTGGACTTGTTGTGGTTAGACATTATTTTTTGGTTGCATCCCGTTGAGCCCATCAGCCCACTGATCGGTCAAAACATTGGGTTTTTTCCCATTAGACAGATCAAATTCGTACACTCAATTGACTAAATGGGGAAAAATGCTAATGTGTCAATTGATCAGTGAGCTGATCATCCCAAAAAACTCATACTTTTGTAGTTTGTAAATGTCACTTTTTGAAATATGCATTACAGTGTTACCTTAACATAAATGGTAGAATTGTAATTTTCCGTATTATAACTAGTTTTCTAATCATTTTTTCCTTGCAGATAGGAGTTCATTGTGCAAAGTTTAACAATGAAAAAGATTCATCAAATATTCTTGCAGCTGTAAGGAGGTATAACATCCACCACCCTGTTGTTAATGATGCAGATAGCTCATACTGGGAAGCTCTTGGAATACATTGTTGGCCTACATTACTCATATTAGGTACAATAACTAAACAGTATTTTTAACTATAGGAAAAGAGCTAAATACAGTTTCAGAATGCAGTTTCTAAAACATTGTCAGAATGTTGTTTCTTGTATTTTATTTGTTATATATTTTATTTCACACAGGACCAGGGAATAAACCGTTATTTGTGCTAACCGGTGAAGGACACCGAGATGAGCTTGTATCTTTTGTTGGAGTAGCTATACGTTATTTTGGTTCCCGCATCTCCACTGCTGAGATACCCATTTCACCATCAAGTTATATTAAACCCAAAGATTGTGATGTTTTACAATTTCCTAGCAAGGTTTGTATAAGCTTTTTATTTTTAAAGGTAGATTTAAATTAATTACTTCGTAACTAATCAATTGTTTATTTTGTCAGATTGCATTAAACCCATTTTATCGTGGTAGAGGTGAGGAACCATTTTTAGCGATTTCTGACACGGGCAACCATCGAGTTATTTTGACAGACTGTTCTGGTATCATTCTGCGTATTATCGGTGGATCAGAACCGGGATTTAAAGATGGCAGTAAGTAAGAGTATTCTAAATTTGAAATCATTGTTTTATTTCTTGAATGTATAGTAATATAATATCATAAAACATTGCAGAGTAGATCTGTATATTATAGCAAATATTACGGAGAAATGTAATGTTGATTAAGTGTCGGGTTACGTTAATAGAGCTAATACGAAGTACGTAATTATTAAATTTGTATTCATGCACGCAATCATCTATCGAAGCCTCGTATTTACATAGTGTAATATTACCCCCTGCTATAAAGACGACAAGAAAAATTGATTCCCATTCAAACATTTCACGCACTTCATTCGTCCATAAACTAAAAACAAGTGTTCAATGTTTTAAACCAAAGTGGCATATTAACAGCGTGTTGCAGTTGAAATAAAAATATTATTTTATTAATAAAGAGTATCGATTTTAATGTGAAACATTTAGAAAGACCGATGATAGGTAACCTATTGGAAGATTGCGGTTGTTTATTGTTCGGATACTCGTACTGTTTTAACGTAAATAGTCGGCTAATGTGATGCAACGGAGCCTAGGAAGAAGAGTGACTTAGCTGGTTGTGCAGAGCTGAGCGAGGCGCGGCTGCGGTCGCCGCAGGGCGTGTGCTGGCTGTCGGGCAGCGTGCTGGCGGTCTGCGACACCGACAACCACGCCGTGCGCGCCGTGCACCTCGACGACGGCACTGTCGAGGTCCTCGTCGGCACTGGACAACAGTCGCACACCGGGGACTTAGGTATATGTGGACTAATCTAGTATTCTACGGCGTGACCTTGAGTTAATTTTAATGCGACAGTTCATCGTCGGATATTTCTTTCAAAAATGGACACATTTTCTGACACTTTTAACAAGATTATGCGGCACAGGACAGAGATATGTTCTTCTTCCATGCGACCCCTACTTTGTTATTTCTGATGTTTATAGGTAGGTGACCTTGTACATTGATTGCTCGTTTGCTACATTCTATAATAATATCCGTGTGCAGGAGGCAAGTGCCTCGGCTTACAGGCGCTGTCGTCTCCGTGGGACGTGGTGCTCTACACCACGCCTGACATGGACATGTCCATCCGACCGCTGCCACCCCCCGCGCCCCCTGCGCCTCCCACCGCCGCGCCCGCCGCCCCTCGCGCCACTGACCCCCTGCGCGTTGACGACCCTGCTGCCAATGACGACGCTAAAGGTAAGTAAATCAGGTTGCCATTTGCGACTACCAATTTTATAGGAATAAAAGGAGTTTTTAATTGTACTTTATTTTAGAGAAAGAAAAAAAAGACGAGAAGCGCCGCGTGGTGCTGATAGCGTGCGCGGGCTCGCACCAGATCTGGGCGCTGTTCCTAGACAACACTATTTGGTGGAAATATAAAAGTTACGCTGAAGGTGAGTTAAATATCATTATAATCGAAACGTCGACTTCCCTTATTCTTTATTTTTTTTAACAGAAATGTGAATATTGTTTATTGTGTGTAGGTACTTGCGTGTGTATAGCGGGGTCCGGTGTGGAGGCGGCGCGCAATAGCGCATACCCCAACACCGCCTGCTTCGCGCAGCCCTCCGGACTCACACTCAGGACTGGTAGGCACTAATAAAGATTCTACTAAATATCATTAAGCATCTTAAATGATAAGGCCTCGCATATACTTCAAATTCCTTACAAATTTTGACGTCTATAGGATTGAAGGTGCATACTAAGCGAAATATTAAAGATTCGTTTCAATCTTTGATCATCAGTCTCAAAAAATCTACTCAATAATCAAGCAAATGTATTTTATGATGCAGGAACGAGCCCGGAGATGTTTATTGCTGACTCAGAAAGTTCCTCCATCAGAAGACTAGCGCTGTCTACTGGACAAGTGTCTACATTGTGTGGTGGCGATAGGAACCCATTGGTATGTTATATTTTAAATTCGTCGTTAATTAATAAATATTAAATTGCAAGCTAATTATATTTTGTTCCCAGAATCTCTTCGCTTTCGGGGACGTAGATGACATTGGAGTGGAAGCCAAGTTACAACACCCTCTCGGTGTCGCATACTGCGAAGCTAACAAGACTCTGTACGTCGCTGACACATATAACAATAAGATAAAGAAAGTGGATATCGGACCTCAGAAAGTTACCACACTAAATCCGACCATGATCGAAACATCGGACCCTGCCATATTCAACGAGCCGTCCGGACTCTCAGCCAGCGCGGACGGCAAATATTTATACATAGCCGACACAAACAATCACAGTATTAAAATATTAAATCTAGCCAAAAACGTCTGCCAGGAGTTCAAAGTGCGCGTCCCCGATCCCAAATACACGGAGCCGGAGAACCTCATCCTATACAAGAACGATTTGTTCATCCACAAAAAGTGCGGCAATCTTATAATTCATTTTAATATGAATTTAGAAGCGGATCAAAGTAAAGAAGGCAAGGCAGTGGGGCGCGCGCCTCAGTTCACGCCCGGAGCGCCGCAGAACTGGCACGTCTGGATCAAAGATGACAATAATAAGGACGTCACCTTAGACGAGTTTGACTTCGTCTCCGGCTCCAGGAAAGGAACTAAACTTCCTGGCAGAGTCGAAATGAAACTCAAACATCAAACGGATAAGACTCATTATCTCTTGTATCTCAGTTTCCAAACATCGTTGTGTGACTCTTCGGTTTGCTACTCACATTTCTTTACAGTGAGGTCTACGATTTTGGTCCGCGACTCGGTGAAACCCGTGGAGTCGTACAGGATCACCTGCAAAGTGAACCCCGCTATGACGCGCGCCAGCAAGGCCGAACAGTCCAAGAGATAACTCAGACTATACTACGCTACTTCTACTGATTACCTTCAAAGTGTTAAGAAAATCTGTTGACATTCATATGTTTAAGATGTAAACTGCTTTTTTTGTTTATGATTTTTTACCATTGTTATAAAAATGTAATAATAAACTCTATGTAAAGTGAATTTGTTTGTTTTAATAAATGGATTAAATCAAACTAACGCAAAGATGGAAAAGTTATGTTGAAAGAAATGGATGAAACCTCTTCTAAATTTCCGAAAGGATTAAACTTTCTTATATTAAAAAAAATCCTGATTTAGAACCAATCAGATCTTAGTTAATAGCAATTGAGACGGTTGCTGTGAGCCGTGCTACGATCCTATCGATAAGGAAAGCGACCCCGACATTTATTGGCAGGAAGCGTGTCCTCTGAAATTACGTATTTACCCGATCATGACGATGTTGACCTTACTGCTTCAAACGGTGGCTTTATCGTCCGTTCTGTATTACACGAGCGCTACAAATGTCGACCGCCACAGACTAACATGAATGTAAATGATTAATATAGTAAAAACAATACTGATTTTTTTTATATTATAAGTTGGCACACGAGCAAGAGGCCACCTGAATCCGCCGAAATGGCGAAGCGACCGCTACCCATAGACTTCCGCATTTGGTGATACGTTGCCTACCCTTAATCGACGGAAGAGGAGACGCACAGAAACAGAATATCTTTCAGGATATTTTATGAGTATCCCCCACCGTCAAGTCCACTTAAAAAAAGGGTGGAAAGGAAAAGGCACTAAAATTAGGGCTCCGGCACCACACTCATCAGACGAAACGTGGAATTGCTCCCATTTTTCGCCTGTCTTCTGTGTGGTATTGTACCGGGCGAGCCGACCCATTCATGCAAAGATGTTAAAGCAGACACTACCACTGTTAAATTCCCATTGATAGGAGGAGAGTAAGAACGTTTAACTACTTCATCTTATATATTTTGTCCATTCCATAAGGTAGTTCTGGTTCTTTATATTAAATCCAATCATAGTAACTCGGTTCTTATGACTCCCTTCCTGCAATAATATAGTTGAAATTATTTCTATTTAATTTCCTACGAAACGGTTATCCTCTGGTACATCATTAATCTGTGCATTGCAATAACCCGAAGCTCACAAGGCTTATCACGTGAAGCCAGTGATAATGGTCAAGCAAAGGTCATTTACCAGGTAACGCGGTTACATATCACGACAGACGCATCCGATATCAAGGTCTCTTACACATAGTAAGGTTTAATCAACTCTGAGGTCTCGAAATTACGTCATCGCATTGAAATTAGATCGGCGTAATTGCTTTGCTCTTTGCGACCGGACAATACTTTAGTGAAATTATTACGTAAGCCTTTTAATAACATTTATGTTAATAATAACTTGACAATTGTTTCATCTGAAATAATCATAGACTATCAGTTTAAATCTTGGTTTGTTTTAAGAAATGCCTAATCACTGAAGCGATGGGTGGTACAACATTGGTGGACTTAGGGTCCTTTAAAAAGCGAGCCTACAATTTCCTCAAAGGTCGACAACGCATCTGTAGTTCCTCTGGTGTTGCGGATGTCCATGGGCGTCGTTGACCACCTTATTTGCCCGCCACTCGTTTGCCTCCTTCTGTTATAAAAAAAACACCTATGAACCGAGCTTGATCTTTTTATTCTGTAACGGTTATTTAAGGCCTAGGTCTTAATTATCGTTTTGTATTTATGGTACGGAAAACCATCTGAATAGAATTAATTTTATGTCGTACTGAAAGGCTTACTAGGATAATATATAAGAACTTGGTGGAGAATATTGTTTCGTTGGCTATAAGATAATTAGCTGTTGCGAGATTGGGCTATTCACACGAGCCCACCTCGCTGAACTTTACGCATGTAAAACGTATTCATTTGTCTAATGGAGACGTATTAAGAAATTGTGGGGTACTTATTTTGTTACTGACCTTACCTATCTTCTATTATATGTGTGTGATTAGGACGATTGCAATCTCTATGGTTAGGTCAGCGATCGATGACCTTTAGAGCCAAGCGTAATGACAATTGCAACTTTTTGTTGTCTCTACAATAATACATTGGTCAATAGTTTTAAAATTAAATGCAAATAATGTGCAATTAACAATATATATATTTTTCTTTGTCACAAAATGTACGTTTTATTGTGTCATTAATGTATGCAATTGAAAGTCCTTGCAACGAATGCAGCGATGTCAATCATTGCTGGGTCTCCAACGTGCTTGTAATGTCTAAATAGGACTCTAAGAACAGGATAACAGAACAATAGAAATTATAAATAAAGAAATTGTTACTTCAAATATCAAAAGGGTAAACTTTTAGATAAGATATTATTTATAAAAAAAAAACATTGATATGTAACTAGAACATAATGTTTAAGATAAATTTTATCTAGAATTGAAATAAAATAATTGGGATATCTATCCTTTTGTAATGCGTTTTAAAAGTAACATTTGTTACCATTCATAACACTGATGATGTCAGAATCTAACCTGAAACAGAACTCAAATGCTTGGGTCTCTTAGTAACAGATGTTGGTAGGTTATAAAATTATACGCTAAGAGGTAATTAGGTATCGATAATAAAACATAATTAAGTCATATGTAATTCTATTAAACAATGTTAATTAAATAAGCGATAGGTGAGGAAATGAGCATTATTTTTATATAACATATGTTCATAAAGTGTTTATTGTTTATGTATAATATTCATAAAATGCTTCACCTGTTGAGCTTTATGTATATGTAATTTATTTATAAGCACTTAAGGTATTTTTCCGGCGCGTGTTTGGTATGCAAGCTCTATATCAATCCAGTCATTGAGTAGCGACGTTGAAGGCATAATTATAACTTAGTTCTGAGCTATTTTGCACACAATTTACAAAAACAATTGAATTGCATCTTATATTTTTATTTCAACAATGGTCCTAAGCCAGGGGTAGCGAACCACTGGCACGCGTCCCATAAATGGTACACGACATAATCTTCTGGGCACGTTGATAATCATAAAAACACTACGAAATTATGATGTACCATGGAATTGACTTAATAATCGCAGTCAAAATCATTCGATGGTACATACGTCCCATAAAACATTTGTTTAAAAAAATGGCATTTTGATGGATAAATGTTCGCCACCCCTGGCTACCAACTGCGATTTTAATTAAACAAGATTTTTTGAATAACAAATGTAAACCATTACTATTGCTTTACTTTATGTTACTAACCAATAATAATCGTGTATTTGTTTTAAGTTTCGAACTGTAAAATATATTTTTTCTACGTTGTTTTATTTTGTCGCGAAAGATGACTGCGTTATACTCTTAGATGCAGGGTTTTTAATAAATTGTAATAATAATTCATACGTTATTTGTGACTTATACAAGAAGCAAGAATACTTTTATCCGAAAGGTTGTCTGCGAGCGTCACATGACCGTTTCTTGTGTTGTGACGTTGCGATATTCCTTGAGGTCTTTAAATATTATGCTACGAGTCATGTGATCGCGAAGGTGAAGACTGCAACCGTAGACTTCCATTGCAAATATTATATATTCTCATCCCTTTCATAAACATTGACAAAACAGAGACCGCAATAGGAATAACACAAATGTGACGGTAGTGTAATTCTACGGTAATATTTAACAAATACCTCTAGTATCGAAGTATCGAATCGAGAATTACTTATTGTCTTGTTCAGTGTATTTTCTCGCCGTACAATGACTTTCCCACGATTTTTTTTGTGTAAACAATAGACTCGGTTTGGCAACACTTTTTAAGTGAACCTTTACCACATAGGTTTGCAAAATGAAACATCTCTGTTTAAAGCAACTAAGTACTGGCCGTCATTTGTTTTAGTACGTAAAGAATTTACAATGAAAGCTTTATTTGGTTCGTGCCAATTAATATTTTAGCATAATCTTGTTTTATGACAATTATGTACTGAATTGTTTTATGATTTAATATCTCCCTTATGATGAACGGAAACTTGATTGACCATAATTTTAATCGTTTATGGGATATATAAAATTAAAATTATTAATTTATGAAATGAAAAAACAACATTTAAATTGTACCCTTAAGGACGCTCTTAGGGTCCTTTATTTGACATTAAGGTGTTTTCCATACTAAATATAAATTAAGGGTGGTTACTTCTTTGAATCAAACATAGTTGTATATGTATGTATAAAGAAACATTGTTATTAACAAGATTATCCTTAAAATAATGCAAGAATGTATACAGCTTATGCATAAGCTGTGTAATGACGCTCATAAAGTAGCCAAGCAAATGTTAATAATATCTGCATGTGATATAATATTCAGTAAAACTATGTCTTCCTGTTTATAATAACTTACTCAATCTTAATCCGTGACTAAGATGGCATACCTGTAGTGCTACAAAAAGCAATTGACAAGCTGGAGTAACTTGGAGTTAGAATTTTAGTTTCTATGTTTTATTGTCGATGAATTAGTCCCAAGTCGATTTATAATATACTAAAAACATATGATAGTCCTTAAAAATATTATTAACCATTTAAATTAACTCTTCATAAATAACTAAATCACAATTTTCTGATTTATCTCATGTGATAATCATACTAATATAGGTAAATGCGAAAGTTTAGATGAATGGATGGATGTCTGTTAGTTTGTAGCCTAAACGGATGAACGGATTTTAATGAAATTTAGTACAGATGTAGAGGATAGTCTGGAAGAACATATAGGCTACTCACTTTTATTTTCTTTAATGCCACGCGGACGGAGTCGCGGGCGAAAGCTTGTATGTTTTTATAAAAACTGAAATCAAAATAACAGAATACAGTGACTATCGTGCATTATAGTAAAAGTTATCGTACAGATATAAAATACTCGCATGAATTCGATAGTAACAATCGATAGATAGAAGCTATTTATGAAGTTGTCGAACTGTGTACAAAGTGGATTATATTGTTTTGCCGACATGCACTATTCAGGGCAAAGTCGTGTTCAAACGGTTAAGAAGGTCTTGAGGACAAAGTTGTCTTGCAACATTATAAATAAAAACATAAAGTTTCAGTGCTAGAGTGATAAGAAACAAATTGTTTGCAAGGGTTTTTCTAAAGTTTTAAACTGACGTTTAAAATTTAAT